GTGGGTGTTTTCCCTCTGGGCTGTCTGTGTACTTGAGTCATTTCTTCAATTCAAGTTTTGCTCATTGCAACCGGATTCCGTATGTTCACTGCCACCACACTACACAGCACCTACCCACAGATTTGTAACAAATTGACACAGTAACAAATTGATGCCAAACTCCAGCGCACACTGCTGTTACACAACAGTTACAGAAAATGGTTTTGTTCCTTTTAGGATAGCTGTTTTTTTTATATAGCTAAAAGCTGATCACTGTGAGCACCCCTGTCAATGGTTAATGATTTGTCTAAACACTCTTAAGTAACACGTTTGCAGGAGAACTTGTTCCGTTGCAAAACAGACCTACCTGCCAGATCACCAGGTGAAAACAAAGGAAAGCCTAAAAAAAGAAAATGAATGCAGCCATCAGATCTAAGAATTGGTAAGCTGCAAAACAATACATGTTTGCTGTTGGGTTTAATACCACTTTTAATGTTATGTGATGGTTGTAGTAGTTCATCTGCTCCCTATTACTTTGGATCACTAGTTACTGCTTATTTCCCAGGTAAGGAATCCCCTTGGTTCACAGAGGCCCAGTCCTGGGAGAAGGCACTGCCAATTTTCTTCCCAAACCCAATCCTCCACTTAGAGAAGGTTCTGGATCTCCTACTTACCTACAGGTTAAATATCCTGTTGGAGGTGGGGGGGATGGGGCGTTTCTCATAACTACTCCCATTTCTCATAACTACAACCCCCCCCCCCCCCCCAAGAGATTGCTACATGAGCATTCACCGTAGAGGGCAGCGGATCCCTACACATTGCTTTGACATGTACATAAAATTAACATGCAGCTGTTGCCTGGTATCCTCTTCTACAAATACCCACCATAGCAGGCTGAGCTCAGGGTCTATATATGGACAACTATCTGTAAAGCGAAAGTGAAACAGCGACCATAAGACAGGTCCGATATATGCACAAAGACGCATAGAGAGAAGCAAAAAGGAGAAAAAGACCATCCACCCTAAACTGGTATCTTATTTGGAAATACAAATCCACCAGTAAAGAAACATCCTAGAACAATTTGCCTGACAAAGTAAGTACAGAAAAAGCAATATTTGTAATGATGTGTCTGCTGTTGTTTGCAGAAGCTATGGCTACAATTTTTGGGCTGCTTTGGAAAATGTTAGATGCCTGGCTTCCATACTGATTCCATGGCTTTCATATTTTGAGACTCCAGGGTTGATTTTACTAAAGCATTAGAAAGTTCACTTAGCAAAGATTTTATATAATGTGACCTGTCTTTATCCCAGAGATTGGCTTTTTCTAGCCAATCGTGCTAGAAACAAAAAAAAAATCCTGTTTTCCTAATTTTCCTTGCACACATTTGGATATTTACAGTGAACATAACTTCACCTTTTTTACTAACATTCATTTTCCCAGGTGAACAGCCTCTACTCATATTTTCCATGGGTACAATGTATGCAGGGCATGCAGGTCCCAAGGAGAATGGGGTCCATTGTGCACTGACTCACTGCTTCCATAGATGCTGTTCTTGCTCCTGAGTTGCACTTGTTACTTTTCATTTGCAGTTCGAAGCAGATCTACATATGGCTGGAAGCTGCTTAGCCCAAGCATAGTGGCTGCCACACTGGATACCTCTCCTCCTGGTAGTTTTTGTTAAAAATGACCTTGATTTCAGAATGCACGTGAAATACATCCACAATGGCTCCCACTGGTCTCAGCTAAGCATGTGAGAGAGTGGAGAAGGGAGAGCAGACCACAGATGAGCACAGCACTGGATCGATACAGGACTCGGGTAAGTATTTAGGTAACGGGGGAGGAGAAATGGTGGCTAAAAGGGTTTTTCTTACCTTTTAACGTATAGAGTGCATTAAGGTAAACTATTTGACTTTAGAACCACTTTAACGCCAACCCCTCCTTCTTTACATTCTCAGCACTCACTCCCACCATACCAACTGCTTGTTGTCTCTCACTCCTGCTGCTATTTTAGTTCAGCAGTGACTGGGTTGTCAGCCCACTGCAGGATCAACAGGTATGATTCAGCAATTGCAGCATTTTGGGATTTTGCCTATGCACACACTCTAAAGCTGCGTTTCTTCATTTTTTTTTTTCCTCCCCCAGAGGAACCTCTAAAATCTTCAGGTCTAAGGTTGCCTTTACTAAAACTAGTTTATTGGGTGTCAATAGAAAACCAAAAAACTCCTTACCCCTGGTCAGCAGGAAGAATGCTTTCCCCCCCCCCCCCCTTACAGCATGGTCCAGGGCCTTAGATACTTGTGTGTGTTTTGGGGGGTGTAAGTTCAGCCCCGGTCTCGGGGGGGGGGGGGGAGGTGTAAGTTCAGCCCCGTTAATCTAGAGAAAAATAAGTAAGCAGCATGATGCAGTACGATTGCTGCACACAGGTCAGTAGACAGAGTACAACAAAAACATGCCTCACTCTCCCACTTCTTCCCAAACCAAATTCCCCCCCCCCCCCCCCATACAGATCTCCCCCTCCGCACAGATGTGCCCCCCCCCCCCCCCCCAAAAAAAAAAAAAATTCAGCCCTCCCTCCTCCAAGAGTTCCACTTACCAGACCAGGCAGGAATAGCAGCTGCAGTGCTTCTGCTGTGTAGCCACTGACACCCCTGGTGGGGTCAGAATGCCACTAATATAGACAGATAACAGAATTGGTGTCATGTTGCTGGATTTTGGCATAGTTCCAGGAGCTTTATAGGCACCATTAAATTTGAAGATCAATCAGCCACCACTCAAGAACCCTTGCCTCTGTTGGAACCTTAGGGTTTCATGTAACCCTAGTTAAGAATGGGGCATAGTTAAGATATGTTATGTTTTCAGCTGTACATCCTGTCAACCAATGTTAGGTGTTGCGTGTAAATAGGAGCTGGTAGTTTTTCCTACTTCTGTTGAATTTCTTCCGATGTCATAGCTTAGCTGTCAATAACGCATATAAAAATATAGTCTTTTTAATAATGTCTGTAATTGTATTTTCTGCATTCAAATGGTCTAAAGAAATTTCTGTAATGAAAGAATATATAATATATTTAGCCTGCTGTGGCTGACCTTCTGAAAATGTTAGTTGCCTGGCTGTTATTCTGATTCTATGGCTTCAATACCTTCTGAATCAATAGGTAGAGCATCAGCCAAGGCTATCAGTAGATATGTTGTACCAGTGGCAAGGTTGAGTGTGTCCTTTAGGAGAGAGGTAGAGCGAGAATTTAGCTGACATGGAAGTAAGCCTGTCTATTATAATGGGTGCTGATGAAATAACGGAAATACAAATATGGAAGTTTAGGAGAACAATAAGGATCAGGAAATTTCATAGTTTTTTCCTCCAGAATTTTGTGAAAAAGGTGAGATTTCTGGCACAAGTTCGCAATGTTGGCAAACTGCAATAAAGTCAATGAGAGAGACAATATTAATGTTGTTTTTGTTGGTGTTGAAGGGTGCAATCAGCTTTAAATGGCTCCTGAGGATTATAGAAGCTCCTTTCAACTATCTTGAGCCTGTTCTTATACGAAAACAACTTTGTTGGCTTCATTGTTTTACTTTTATTTTTCCTTTTTTTTTTTTGCCCATTAAAATAAGACCGTTAAAAAGAGTCAAGTAAAAAAATTTAGAGAGCGCTCAAAAGTAATAATCAAATATGCCGAAAAAGGCAACTGTAAGAAAAAAATTCTGATCATACAACCTACTCTACATACACTGAAAACACATCCCCCTTCCCTTCACAACTTAGGGGAGAGAGGGAAAGTATTCTTTAGTCTAGAGAAAGTTGAGGAAAATTTAACTAGTATGAGTGCAGCTCAGGCAGAAAGAACAGGCCCAAGATTTCTGGGGAAAACAAAAGTTGGTATATTAAAATTAAATGGATAATTTAACAGACCAAAGGTGAGCAAATAAAAGGAAGTTCATTGTTAGGGATTATATACACTTTAAAAAAAAAATCAATTTGGAAGAATGTGAAAAGCAATTATCACAGGCTGTACATTTTTTTTTTTTTTTTTGTCCAATATGTTATCTAATACTATTACTTGGCATCTAGTTACCAAAATGCAGCATATTTCCTGTTTGAGGTATTATATAAAAATATACTTTTATGTTGGCCACTAGATGTTGTTGATGATTATAGGAAGTCATAGTATTATAGAAGATATGGGGGAAAGTCATGCAGTCTAGAAAAAATGTTTGACATTTGTTCAATTAATAATTTATAAAAAGACCCCTTTGTTCCCTTTTTAAAGAGAGTTGTGAATGAATGAACTACAAGTCCCATCTTCTACTGCTCCCAATTGAATACAATTGCAATTATCAACACAGTCGTAGTCCATTGACACTTCTGCAGCTCTCCAACTAAAAACCATACCTCTGTAAGGACATGGAACTGGAGGAAGGGTCAGCGGGGGGCCTGGCGTTGCGTGAGTCCAATCCAGGCGTACTGTTAGTGCACTATTTTTTTTTTTTTCCCTACAAATATACACAGTAGGTGCATTTTTTTTTTTTTTTTTCTTTTTCCTTTCCTTTTTCCCTTTCCCTTTCCCTTTTTCTTTTTTCTTTTTTCTTTTTCCTGGACTCGGCCTTTAAGAAATATATGGGGAGTAAAAATAAAAACAGTTCACTTTAAACAGGATTGTAGTTCAAATGATAAAAACACATCCTTGGTTTTGATCCTGTACTGCAATCATTTTTGAAGTGGACTGTTTATGGTTTTCTGAAACTGTATAAATTGAACTGAAGAACCAAAGGTGTTTTGTCTGGCAGCTGGTGTGTGTGTGTATAAAATAAAATAAATATATGTATGTATATAGATGTCTAAAAAGTGTTCCAATTTTTTTTTGTTTTTTGTGTTTTAAAAAAAAATTCCATTTAAATAGGAATTTATAAAATGCAAAGTTAAAAAAAAAGTTTATTTTTAAATGATGCTGTGACCAATATGAATATTATATATTTTTCTGAAAAGTTCCAGGTGTGAGCACAAAGCCCCTGGGGTGACCACCATCATGAGTGAGTTGGTTGTAGGTGACACTTCTGTGAAAATACAATTAGGTGACATTACTGATGCAAGTACTGATGCCATTGTCAACCTAACTAATGCAACACTGGACCAAGACTTTGGTAAGCAGTTCCAAAAGTTACTAATTTCATACATTCTTAATAGTATTATTGAAAACTTAAACCTATGCCACTGGAAATTGTGAAGCCCGAGGATAAGTGGGTTTTTATTATAATTTAATTATAAGCGGTCAAAAGAAAACTGTAACAAGTATTAGCAAATGTTGCTGAATATTTTAGGATATTTTAAATAAAACTATCAATTTCTTTTAAAATTTTTGGGTATTATTTGTAAGAGATACTTGGTTTTGGAGGTTGATGTTCCCAATTAAAATTAAAGCCAGTCTGCTCGAAACTGGCAGGTAGACTTGGGAAATTCCTTATAGAAAACAAGGACTATGGAGATTTCTCTAGACCTGCATGCTTGCTATGCCCATTATGAGGGGTTCCCGCTCTCCTGATTAATTTTTTACTTATTTTATATTATCGATCGTTTACCAGGAGGAGTTGGAACAAATATTGAAGGGAACACCCAAAACTCTCAGCTGGGCAAAACTGAGTTGGTAATTTTGTCAATATCTGCATTGGATCATCTAGGATATACACTATATTGCCAAATGTATTGGGACACCCCTCAAAATCATTGGATTCAGGTGTTCTACTTACCTCCATGGCCATAGATGTACAGTCAGGTCCATAAATATTGGGACATCGACACAATTCTAAAATTTTTGGCTCTATACACCACCACAATGGATTTGAAATAAAACAAACAAGATGTGCTTTAACTGCAGACTGTCAGCTTTAATTTGAGGGTATTTACATCCAAATCAGGTGAACGGAATAGGAATTACAACAGTTTGCATATGTGCCTCCCACTTGTTAAGGGACCAAAAGTAATGGGACAATTGGCCTCTCAGCTCTTCCATGGCCAGGTGTGTGTTATTCCCTCATTATCCCAATTACAATGAGCAGATAAAAGGTCCAGAGTTCATTTCAAGTGTGCTATTTGCATTTGGAATCTGTTGCTGTCAACTCTCAAGATGAGATCCAAAGAGCTGTCAGTATCAGTGAAGCAAGCCATCATTAGGCTGAAAAAAAAACAAAACAAACCCATCAGAGAGATAGCAAAAACATTTAGGCGTGGCCAAAACAACTGAAGGAACGCACCGGTGAGCTCAGCAACACCAAAAGACCCGGAAGACCACGGAAAACAACTGTAGTGGATGACCGAAGAATTCTTTCCCTGGTGAAGAAAACAACCTTCACAACAGTTGGCCAGATCAAGAACACTCTCCAGGAGGTAGGTGTATGTGTGTCAAAGTCAATAATCAAGAGAAGACTTCACCAGAGTGAATACAGAGGGTTCACCACAAGATGGAAACCATTGGTGAGCCTCAAAAACAGGAAGGCCAGATTAGAGTTTGCCAAACGACATCTAAAAAAGCCTTCACAGTTCTGGAACAACATCCTATGGACAGATGAGACCAAGATCAACTTGTACCAGAGTGATGGGAAGAGAAGAGTATGGAGAAGGAAAGGAATTGCTCATGATCCTAAGCATTCCACCTCATCAGTGAAGCATGGTGGTGGTAGTGTCATGGCGTGGGCATGTATGGCTGCCAATGGAACTGGTTCTCTTGTATTTATTGATGATGTGACTGCTGCCAAAAGCAGCAGGATGAATTCTGAAGTGTTTCGGGCAATATTATCTGCTCATATTCAGCCAAATGCTTCAGAACTCATTGGACGCCGCTTCACAGTGCAGATGGACAATGACCCAAAGCATACTGCAAAAGCAACCAAAGAGTTTTTTAAGGGAAAGAAGTGGAATGTTATGCAATGGCCAAGTCAATCACCTGACCTGAATCCGATTGAGCATGCATTTCACTTGCTGAAGACAAAACTGAAGGGAAAATGCCCCAAGAACAAGCAGGAACTGAAGACAGTTGCAGTAGAGGCCTGTCAGAGCATCACCAGGGATGAAACCCAGCGTCTGGTGATGTCTATGCGTTCCAGACTTCAGGCTGTCATTGACTGCAACGGATTTGCAACCAAGTATTAAGTGAAAGTTTGATTTATGATTATTATTCTGTCCCATTACTTTTGGTCCCTTAACAAGTGGGAGGCACATATGCAAACTGTTGTAATTCCTACACCGTTCACCTGATTTGGATGTAAATACCCTCAAATTAAAGCTGACCGTCTGCAGTTTAAAGCACATCTTGTTCTTTTCATTTCAAATCCATTGTGGTGGTGTATAGAGCCAAAAATGTTAGAATTGTATCGATTTCCCAATATTTATGGACCTGACTGTATAAAATCAAGTACCTAGGCATGCAGACTGCTTCTACAAACATTTGTGAAAGAATGGGTCACTCTCAGGAGCTCAGTGAATTCAAGCGTGATACTGATAGGTTTCCACCTGTGCAATAAGTCCATCCATGAAATTTCCTTACTACTAAATATTCCACAGTCAACTGTTACTGGTATTCTAACAAAGTGGAAACAACTGGGAACAGCAGCAACTCGGCCACAAAGTGGTAGGCCACATAAATGGCAGAGCGGGGTCAGCGCATGCTGAAGCGCACAGTGCGCAGAAATCACCAACTGTCTGCAGAGTCAATGGCTAAAGACCTGCAAACTTTGTGTGGCCTTCAAATGAGCACAACAGTGTGTAGATAGCTTCATGGGATGGGTTTCCATGGCTGAGCAGCTGCATCCAAGCCTTACATCACTAAGTGCAATGCAAAGCGCTGGATGCAGTGGTATAAAGCACGCCACCACTGGACTCTAGAGCAGTGGAGAAGTGTTCTCTGGAGTGATGAATTACACTTCTCTGTCTGGCAATTCAATGGACGTGTCTGAATTTGGAGGTTTCCAGAGGAACGGTAGTTGCCTGACTGCAAAGTGTAACGTTTGGAGGGGAGATTATGGTGTGGGGTTGTTGTTCAGGGGTTTGGCTTGGCCCTTAGTTCCAGTGAAGGGAACTCCTTAAGGTGTCAGCATACCAAAACATTTGGACAATTTCATGCTCCCAACTTTGTGGGAACAGTTTGGGGATTGCCCCTTCCTGTTCCAAGATGATTGCGCACCAGTGCACAAAGCAAGGTCCATAAAGACATGGATAAGCAAGTTTTGTGGTGAAGGAACTTGACTGGCCTGCACCGAGCCCTGACCTCAACCCGATAGAACACCTTTTGGGATGAATTAGATTGGAAACTGTGAGCCAGACCTTCTTGTCTGACATACGTGCCTGACCTCACAAATGCGCTTCTGGAAAAATGGTCAAACATTCCCATAGACACACTTCTAAACCTTGTGGACCACCTTCCCATAAGAGTGGAAGCTGTTATGGCTGCAAAGGGTGGGCCGACTCAATATTGAACCCTATGGACCAAAACTGGGACGCTATTAAAGTTCATGAGACAGGCGTCCCAATACTTTTTGGCAATGTAGTGTATAAGACAGAGGCTTACTCAGCCAATCAGGATCAACCTATGACTAAAATACTACATTAGGTGGACTGACCCATTAAACTAATGATAGTACAGTGTTTAAACCTTTAATTGCTTTATATTTTCTTTCTACATTTCTAGGTGTATCCAAATATATTCTCACCTCAGCAGGACCTACAGTAAAGACAGAATGTGCAGATTTATGTAAGAACTACATGTTAATCTTCATGTAATAGAAATTTTCAGTTTTACAGTATTGGCAGAGAGTTTGTAAAAAGATTGTGTATTGACTTTGAAAACTTGTCTTGAGGGTAACCAATGCTGTATATTTTGTATCTCCCACTCTGTAATTCTGGGTGGTGAGCTTCAACTCCAGATTTGCCTGAAAGCCAAACAAAGCTCCAGGCTGCTTCAGGAACTCATACCATGGTTCCAGAGCTGCTCCTAAAATTAAGGTTACAAACCTAAGGACATTTTTCTCATCTGGATATTGACAGATTGTGGAACAGTTCTATATCTGTAAGCCAACTTCATCCTCAGTAGATTGGGTTTCCAGCCAAGGGATGTTTGCAGAGTGCACCCTCTTCTTCCTCCATAGTCACAAACGTGCACATTGGCCAACCTGACCATGTATTTCTGCATAATGATCTCTTTTGCGATAGACCATTTAACATCTGGTTTGGGACTCTGTTGCTAAATGAAAGTTGCCCACGAAAACTATACCTTTTGAAAAGTGTAAATACTACTTGAAATGCTAAATGCTATTTCATTAGAAAACTATCCACAGACGTCTGCTTTAAAACGCACATTTCCACAAGAGTTGATTACCTTACATCTCCACCAATGAATCGCACTGGAATCTCATTATCAGTCCTGCCCTGTTTAATATGGTGGACTACATAACACCTATGTTATGGAAAGGGGGGGTGGGGGGGGGAGTTGCTCTGTAGGCTTGTCCTAGCGTTACAATGTTGTTGCTCCTCCATAGATACACTATAGATAGTTTTTGTCCCCTAGGATAGGAAATACATTACCTGGAAGGTGTACCTGGTGAAAACAACTACCACATCTAAGGGCTGGTTAGCTTGGCACTGATTTATAATAATGTTTAAGAGGCAAACAAATTAAAGTCAGATTTTTGAATAGCTTTTTATGCAGTAACAGAGAGGTTTTTTAAGGCTACATAAAAGCTGATTATTGTAAGCACCCCTGTCAGTGTATCATGGTATGTTTCAACTCTCTAACTGCTACTTTTCCTGGACAGCTTGATCTGTTACAGGGAGTGGGGAAAACAGATCTACTGGCAGGATTGGCCACATGCTAGTATGTCAATTTTATCTTGCTCATATTAAATTTAAATTTTGACCATGATATGAGGTCACATCAAGAAGAACAGTAAAATACAATATACAGAACACTGCAAGCAGGCAAGTGAGTTTATTGGTAAGCCTGCTTACTTGTAACCTTTTCATATTTGACTTTATTTGGTTAAAGGAAAAAAATCACTGTAGGATATGAAGCCAGAGAAGAACTGGCTTTACTTTCTGGGTGGCATTAAGGCCCACTATCTTCAACAATATACAATCATTGTGTGATTTTCTTTATGGAGATTTTAGTGATAGTTTGAAATTAAATTGTTTTTCTTTGTAAAACATTTCAGGTAAACGTCCCAATGATGGATGTGTGGTGACTGGTGCTGGAAATCTCAAAAGTAAAATAATAATTCACTTGATAGATGTACAGGCAGCAAACATTGCACCATTAGTGAAAAAATCTTTGAAAAGCTGTGAAAAACGTCACCTCTCTTCTATTTCTCTTCCAGCTATTGGAACAGGTAAAATCAGATGTTGCCTAGCTTATTCTATTCCAGTGTTAAAGTGAACCCATGCCCAGACTATGCACATTAGCATTTTGTTTGTCTGCAGGAGCTTGTAAAACATTGCACCAGCGATCAGTAGGTCACTGATGCCATGCAGGTCTCCTGCAGACCTGTCAGAATATCTGCTTGCCGTACAGGATGTATGAGCAAGCAGATATTCTGACCGTAAGCTCTCATTCACAGAACCCGCACAGCCGCGCTGTTTTCAACTCAGTTCAGCATGGCTGTGGCTATGGGAACATGTTACATGTTCCATCCTAAAAACGGGTGGAACATGTAACGTGTTCCCAAAGGTGTACTTATCCTTTAAGGCTGAGGAATCCCAACCCCAACTTGGTCACATACGGTGTATTTTTCTCCATCTTCTGAGTACAGTGGTGGGAAAGCGAAGGAGAGATTTGTTCTGCTAGAGGGCATTAAAGCAAACCTGTATGTACACTGCATAGACAAAGCAGTGGTAAAAACAGTAAAAAAACACAAAGTTAACTAATAAAATTGCAAAGAGTAAGGTAGTTTGTCTATACAGTATATACTTTTTTTTATTTTGGATGTACTACTTTACAAGCCAGCAGGCAGTGGGAAACTGGCTGCTAAGACGCTGGTAGACAGTGACATCTTGGCAATCAATAATGCTCTGCAGCCTGAACAGAGGAGCTGTTTATCGTCAGAAGTAATATGGCCAATAAATGGATAACCTCCTGCAGAAGCAGCAGGGTGCTGGAGAACCAGCCAAATAGTTTGCCGTGTCTATAAACACCAAACATGCAAAGATTGAGTCAAACCCTACATTGTGCCAAAACTGACCCTCATCCCTATTTAAGACCCACGAGGACCCCTAATGTGGAAAATAGTCATTGAAGATTTCAGTTTTTTGCCCATGAAGATCATCAGCAGATGACTGGATTGGTTGCCCAATTCAAATTAGACTTTTTTAGTATAAGTCTCTGTTCACACTACTGCGACCTGAAAGTCACGCAACTTACTGTGCGACTTCCTGGCGACTTGAGTACTACTTTGATGCGAGTTTGAAGCCACTTTCAGGGAATGCCTGTGTAATCTTCCTGTAATGTCAGGTCCAAATCACATCAATATTGATTAGGATCCGACTTCCATTAAAGTCTACGGGCACAAGTCGGATTGAAGTTACCTTGAAGTAGTATAGGAACCTTTTCTAAAGTCGGAGCAACTTCAGTAGTGCTAAATAAGATCGCCCTCATTGACTAATATGGGATTTCACGTCATGCGACTTGGGGTCTCACAAGTTGAATTCCAAGATGCGGCTGTGTGAACTGAGTCTAAACGTTTTCGTCATGCATTCTCAGAGTCTGGTATGATAAAGCCTAGTGACGCTCTGTTTGCCTCTGTAGGATAGTCTAGATAAATGGATTTGGAAAAGTCACAAGTTTTAGCAAGCTGTTTATCTTTCTAGTTTTGAAGAGTGATTTAATAAAGGAAAGCTTTAAATGTGTCCCAGAAGAAGTGTGCCAATCGGACTCCAAAAAGGTTGGATTTTCCACTTTCAGTCCCGCTATAAGTCGCTGATCACCACCATTACTAGTATAAAAAAAATACAAATAAAAATTCCAGTGTATATATACCACCATTTGTAGACACTATAATTTTCACGTAAACCAATTAATATACAATTATTGGCATTTTTTAGTTATTGTAACTGGGGTTTCATTGACGTTTAAATAAAATATATGTTCTGAAGTATCTGTTTTCTTGTTTTCTGCTTTCATAGGTTCAGCAAAACTAGATCCCCAGATCTCCATCAAAGCCATAATGAAAGGGATTGAAGAGTATCTCTACGATCCTGTCAAACTTTCTGCCTGCACCAGCATTTCTAAAGTCTTCATTGTTGTCTTTGACTCAGCTGTTTATCGGGAATATCTTAAGTTTTTTCAGAATTACAAGGTATGAGTGAACATTCAAAAGACACTTTAAGTAATCTATGAACCCACTTTGTAATATGTGGTGCAGTGGCTTGACTGCTTAATATGGTGCCTGTAGCATCTTGTAAAAATCAGCCATAGTAAATCATTTTAGCTTGTCCTAATATTTGTGAATGGGAACATGTAACGGCTGTGCATGAACTAAAATAAAAATTTCACTTTGTTGCAACACACAGGCTGAGTTGCTCACAAATACTGTTTGCCAGATTGCCATTCCAGGCCATCATTTAAAGTTAGATGTGAAGTCAAACATGTAGAATCATGGAATCCTACTCTGTATAAAGAGTATTCATTCTGCTCGAAACACATTTTTGTAAGTGTTAAAAGCACTAAAAGTGACAGCTTCCTTTCCCTTGAAGATGCAGCAGTACATCACTGCCATTGACATTTGTTGCTGGGTTCAAACTTCAAGTTTCAGTAGGCCTTGTTAGACTTCTAGTTGGAGTAAGTGGAGAGTGGCAGTGGGATGGAGGACATGCACAGACTAAAGACGTGTGTCAGTGCGGCTGCCTGTAGTCCCTCAGCAGGAGCACACACAGAGGTGTCACAGCTTTGAAAGGCAGTGGATGAGCTTTGTCACTCTAAATGTAAGTACTTTGGCTGTAAACAATATCCTCTTTAGGTGATGCAGTTTTAAGGGCCCTTTAAAGGTACCTTATTGTTGAAACAGAACTTGGCTAGGAGCAGGGTGACTGTGGAATACTCCAACTTTAGTAGCAATTTGAGGACACTAATCTTCTTTCTTTAAAGATCTAAGAAAAATTCTTGACTGAACAAATAGTGGACTGAGCTTGGTAGTAGAAACGTAAGGATGCTGACCGTCCTCCTAAAGATATGAAATTTGGGTGGAAGATGGTGCTGGACTACTGTAGTCACACTGGAGGCTGCCTACTGGCAGATTACTGTGTAGAGGGAATTGCTTCCAATGGGTTATATCCCAATTGCAGGTGGTAGTTGACAAACGCCTCCAATCACTCAAGTGTTAAAGATATGATTCTACACTACGCTGCCAACACATTCACCCAGCTGACATGACCCTAAGGAAGGAGACCAATGCTATAGCACTGTGCAAAAAGTAAGTAAGAAGCTCTAATAAACCTCCAGAGGAAGGGATCAAGAAAAAGTTATCAGTAGGGAACATGGTGAGGGATGTGACCATAGCAGAATTGCATCCATCACTAGGAGAGCTAAAAAAAATGTTATTGGGGGAACAAATGGATGTACCCATTGGTAATCCAAAACCAGCACCATGCGCTCCATAAAAAGCCCATCTTTTTACAGGCCATCTTTTTATAGCTCCTAATTTATTTACATGAAGACTGCATACCACAGCAATTGTACCAAACCCCTATGTCAAATTTTGGTTGGCCACACAACAATTTTTTCATGCAATGTTCTAAATCCAAGCATCACATCTCATGATTGGTGATTTGGTTTGGCCCTTTTAATGGCTCTTTTACATCTTGGCATTTTTTCAGAACATTTAAAAATCACGTATGTATGTAAGTCAGATGGCAGTTTCCCTTTTTTGTTTTGGGGGGGGGGGGTCAGCCTTAGAGTGAAAGTAAACGCTCTTATTTCACTATTTTTAATTCTTATGCTGCAAGCCATTGCATTTATCTCCATCTGGAGGAGGGGCTTTCTCTGTTAAAAACACCCACCTGCTTGCATGCATGAGCTAAAGGCAGATGAATTCCAGGAAGTAATGTTACGTGAATCATTCTGCCCTTACTCAAGATAGCCACAGCCAAAAATGCTAGGGGTGTTTTTCAAAGTGATTTTTTTTTTTCAATGAAGCCAAATAAAGCATAGATACATGGATGGATGTGTGAGTTTGCTTTGGATATTAAATGGCATTTTTTAGTTTGTGGTGCTTAGGTACAGTTTAGTTCCCCTTTTAACATTTCATTGGTCGCAATTAGTATGTGTGTGACTGATTGATCTAAACACTGTTAACTACCGGTATATACATTTTTTTATCGGATTCTTTGTGTAAATGTATTTTTTGTCTGTTTAGACCAACTACTTTCACTTCACTGCATTTGGGAAAACAATAGAACTAATTAAAGGTGACATCACTACTCAAGCTGTGGACTGCATTGTGAACCTAGCAAACCAGACCCTGGATCAGAAATCTGGTAAATCTTATCACCTTACAGGCCCACACTTTCAAGTAATATGACTGTTTCCCTCTAATAGGAATAATAATGAATATATATGTAATACATCTCTTGAAAGAACCTGCAGTGATGGAAATAGAGGCTGCTATTGCTGACGAGTGATGGGTCGAACCCCCCCCCCCCCCCCTTTGGTTAGCGGGCGAACATTCGCACCTAACAAAAGTTTGACTGCAAACTTCAAACTCAGAGCAAGTCTATGGGACTCGACTTTGTAAATTCAAAAGTACCCATTTTGAAGGCTTATATGCAAGTTATTGGCCATAAAATGGGTATGGGGACTAGGGTACTGCCGTGAGGGACATGAATCGGTAAAGAAAAAAACATTTTCAAACAGTACAGTGTTTTTTTAAAGGGGCAGTCATTTTTCATTGCTTAAAGAAAAAAAAAAATCCTTTTAAACATCATACCTTGGGGTGGGTGGGTAGGTCTGGAAGGACTTTTAAGGAGGAACCCCACCCTGAATTCTTACTAGACCCTTGATCCGAGCACAGGTCTGCCAGGCCAGGAAGGGGGGGGGGGTGAATGAGCACCCCCCTGCAACTTACCAAGCCATGTGCCCTCGGCATTGGGACAGTGTTCCAATACCGATGGGGACAAGGGACTCTTCCCCACAACCCTGGCCTGTGACTCATTGGAATCTGGAAGCCCCCTTTAACAAGGGGGGGCCAGATCCAGCCCCCCCCCCTTGTGAATAAGCATGGGGTACATGGTACCCCTTCTCATTCACCAAAATGTCAAAAACACAACAGTTTTGACAAGTCTTTTATTAAAAAAAAAAGAGGGATAAAAAAAGCCCAAAAAATTGTTCCATCGTTGTAATTCATCGCCAATCATGGCGTCCAGTGTTGTCATATCGATGCCGACTTGCTGAAATAATATAAACCCCAGGCCCGCCAAACCACCGCTAGCTCTGCCCAATTGTGCTGTGATTGGGGTCAGGTCAGCCTGAATACATCATCACTATAGGTTTTCTTTAAACTTGTTAACTCTTACCCACACACCATCTGTATATTAATTTTGCTGTACATGATGCTCTGAATTCCACGTATAAGTTAGTTTTGTTTTGGTTTTTTTGTTTTATTTTTTTACCATTTCATCCCCTTAAATCAGTGGTTCCTGATCTTTTGGCATCAAGCTTTTAGTCTGCCGATAAACACTGAACAATTTACCAAAGCCTTATATGTCCTTGAAAATGCATATAGAAATGATTTAGAAATACAAATTAATCATAAGAGTTATTGTTAAAATGATACAGAACCTGGAACAAGAAAACTGCTTCAAAATTGACTACAGAGCTCAATCTCAGTCCTGTGAAGACTCAGATTTAGCACTGCAGTCACTTTGACAGCAGTTGTTTTCTGATTCCATTTTTTGTCTAACACCTGTATGTTGTGGTTTTTTTTTTTGGCTTTTTTTTTTCCATCTTTCAAATGGAAAACTTTTGAGTGATAATTCTGTCATAAGAGAAAATGGACTCACTCCCCGGTCACACGATCCGACTTTGAAATCGTATGAAAAAACAAAATGAAGCTTTTGAGGTATTCCAGGTCTTCAAGGTCCAAGCAGTACTAGTACACAAAGTACAAGGGTTCTTGTTTGAGTGTCTATTCCTTTTCCTTCGCATGTGCTAGATGAGGCAGGCTATAATCTGGAAATAAAATGTAGCAGATGAGACAGGGCACATGCACAAATGAACGTGGCAGGACTGCATATTGACTGATTTTACTTGATAATGAAATTTGGTAAAAACTACAGTTGAATTTATAATATTAACAGATCTTAAAGCATAAACAGCTTTTCAGTTACACTGGAGTCCATCTTTCAAGGGGTTTTCCCATCTGTTTGCAGGTGTTTCTGGAGCAATACTGTCTGCTGCTGGGAGGGCAGTTGAAGAAGAATGCAAACGAATCGGTAATTTTTTTTTTTTTTTTTTTTTTTTTTTTTTTTTTTTTTTTTTTTTCCCGCTGTATTCCTACTGCTGTGGTCTACGTTGTCCTCAGGCCTAAAAAAGTTTAAATTGCTTGGCTCCTCCAGCAAGTTTTACCTCCTTCATGACCATGGCATTTATTGCTATACAGTGCTGCATTACTTTAACTGGCAATTACTCGTTCATGCAACACTGTACCCAAATCAAATTTTAATTTATTTTTTTTTCACAGAAATAGAACTTTCTTTTGGTGATATTTGATCACCACTGTGTTTTTTATTTTTTTAATAAATGAAAAAAGAATGAAAATTTTGGGAAAAAACGATACAGATGTTCTGTTAAAACATAGCCAATTAAAAAAAAAAAAAAAAATATATATGTATGTATGTATGTATGTATGTATATGTATGTATGTATGTATGTATATATATATATATATGTATGTGTATATATATATATATATATATATATATATATATATATATATATATATAAAACATTCTGTAGCGGCAATGTTTCTAACTGTCATGAATGGATTACATTCATGGCAGCTGTGATTATTATTGTGTGATATGACTGGCAGACATAGTACAGGAAACTGTGATTGGCCCAGGTACCATGGGATAGCTGTGGGCCAATCACAGCATTACCCTATAGGAATCCCAGCTGTTGTGAATGAAATTCATTCTTAACAGCCTTGTTGACATTTTGATCATGTGATCGCCATGCTCAATGCAGCCGCGTTTTTTGGGAGCCTCAATCTGCTTCGTCCAGATGGACACAACGGTCGTATGAGTGGCACTCTGCACGCCCTCAGCTGCATGACTTGCATGTATGTGATCCAGCCTGCCTGCAGTAAATGTACTGTGGGCAGGCAGCAACTGGTTGGTTAAAGGAGAATTCAAATAAGCTGGTTGAAGAGGGGAGTTCTAGCCATAATATGCAATTTTTGTTTGTAAAATATATTTGGCATTATGGCACACTTCCCTACTAGAATGCCCTCCTCCAGTGCTTCTTCTGGATCCCATGTTTCTCCTCTTCTAAACACTTAACCCCTTGCCTACCAGGAACTTTCACCCCTTTCCTGCCCATGCCAATTTTCAGCTTTCAGTGCTGTCGCCCTTTGAATGACAATTGTGCGGTCATGCAACACTGTACCCAAACCAAATTTTTTGAGACAGATGGAGCTTTCTTTTTGTGGTATTTAATCACCACTTGGGTTTTTATTTTTACTAAACAAATTAAAAAAGACAGAATTGCACTGATAGCCAGCACTGATGGGTACTGACAGACATCATTGATAGGCACTGACTGGCACAAACAGACTGCACTGTTGAGGAGGCACCAATAGGCAGCACTGAAGGGCATTGACAGGCATTGCTAATAGGTACTGCAATATGGCACTGATAGGGCTGCACTGATCAGGATACTGATGATCAGTGCACTGATTATCAGTGTAGATGCCCCCTCTAAGGGATGTCGCTTACCGGCTCTCCTCTCCTCATGCGTTGTCAGTGTGAGGAGAGGACTGCCGATATTTCCAGTTTACAGGTGATCAGCTGTGATTGGACACAGCTGATCACATGGTAGAGACTACGTCATTGACTCTTCACCGCAATCGGTGATCCTCCTTGTGTCCTAGGGACACAGTGCACACCACCGATCGCCTTGCCCCTGGGGGGGAGGGGGCATCTAGAGGGGGAGGGCATCATAGGACATCCTCCCAGAACAAGAGAGCTCCCGCCCATCCGTCATTTCCCTATACGGTGGGCGGGAGGTGGGTAATGTAATGCACACAGAAGGTACATTCTCCACGGTACATGGCTCTATTGGACAGTCAGAAGTGTACATTGCCCTTTGCAATAATTGTTAAAGGCAAGAGGAAGACTTGGGGCTTAATTTACTAAAGACAAATGGATTGTGCACTTTGCAAGAGCAGTTGCTCCAGAGCTTAGTAAATGAGAAAAAGTTTCACTTTGCAAAGAATACCCAATCACGTGCAGGGGGGAAAAAACAAAAAACGCATTTTTGCTTGCACATGATTGGATAATGGGAGTCAACAGAGCCTCTGCTCATTAACTAAGCTCTGGAGTACCTGCAAAGTGCACAGTCTATTTGCCTTTAGTAAATAAACCCCTTTGACGCTCCTGCAAATACTCTACATTCTAGCAATTTTCTATGGACTCATTATTAAGAGCCAACTCCACCCAAAATTTTGATTATTTTTTTTTTCCTTTTCTTTTTTTTAGTTTTGAATAGTGGCTAAGAGTCTGTTTTATAGCTGTCTCCTCTTTGGGAAATAATCCCTCACTTCTGCAGGTATTACCAGGACAGGAAGACAGACAATAACAATTAAGATTTTCAGATCTAACCCTTTTTTCACTCTACTACTTTTTTTTTTCCTATATACTAGAAAAGGGGGCTGCCCTAGTACCACATCCATAAATTATTGAAAGATACCCCATAACCAATGGGAAAAGCTACTTTTCCTATATGCAGACTTTAAAAGTTCTAAAATAAACTATATACAGTAGGTACGCAGTGCCTTTAAATTATATGCTATAGAACAGTGTTTCTCCACCTTTCTTTTTTCAGGGAAGGCACCTTTTAAAATTATGCACAACCTTGAGCCACTCCATTCTAAAATGTAAAAAAAACTAAACAAATAGTTCTACATAACGCAGCAACTTCTACACATATAGGACAGCCAACATTATAAATGTATTCTTCCAAAGCAAATACATGTTTGCACACTGGTACTGACTAGTATGCCAGTGTTTCTCCCTCAGTTTCTCCGGTAAGCAGACTTAGTTTTAAATAGTGGTGGTGAAGGAGCACGGGGATTGCACCAAGGATTGCTGGCAACTGTAGTTCACCAGTAGCAAGACTGTGTCAAAACATTTTATTGAAGTGGAATTTTTATTTGTACAGACTTGTTATTTGTACTATGTGCGTTTAGGAACACTTTCAATGTGATGTGTTAACACCATGTGGGTAGGTGAGGTGTGGTGCAGCAGCAGTAATGACACAGACTTGGAACTTGTATTGAAGAGAGTGCCAAACGACAAACAACCCCAATGTGAGAGCGCCCTTCGGGGTATAACTCACAGTTCTGTTCAACGCAGAGATGCACCAACAGCATCTTGTATAGTTTATATATTTTACTCGCTTTAGAAACCACAGATTGCATGCCATTATTAAACTTATGATCTACCAGAACTCCCAGATCCTTCTCCGCGATTGATTCCCCCAGTTGTACCCCCCCTAGTATGTATGATGCATATCTTAGCCACAAGTGCATAACCTTACATTTATCAACATTAAACCTCATTTGCCACATAGTTGCCCAATTAAACCGTGCATTGAGGTTGGCTTTTAAGTTGGAAACATCCTGTAAGGACGTTATTCCACTGCACAGCTTGTCATTTGCAAAGACTAAAATGGTATTTATAATCCCAGACACTATATAGTTTATAAATATATTAAACTTGTTTCAGGGTGGAATGCGGCCTGGCCAGTCCCAAAGGATAGGCAGCCTTGCAAGATTATAAGTCCCTAGCCTGTCCCAACGCATCTGGAACCTTTCCCTGTCACTATCACTTTCCCTGACACAGGTGCTCTTTCCCTACACTAGCCACTATGCCAAAGTGTGCCAAACCTGGGGGCAGGGGCTTATAAAGGTCCTGCTGACCAATGATGGCCGTCAGAGGTCACCTGCATGCAGCGTAACCAAACAGAATGCTGCCTCCAGGAGCCAGGAAACCAGAGAAACCATGTTTCTCCTGACTTCCTCTCCAGGCTATGGCATCACTTAATTGAGCACCACCTACATTGGAGAAAACAGACTGTACCTGCCTACAACTGTATATTTAAAATTTGTCATATTGTATGGCAGGCCTCGAAATTTCCACTCGCCTGCTTGCATTGGCGAGTGGAAATAAGGTGGGGGTGAGTGTGTCCCCCAGGGCCGTCTTGCTGAGCAGGCTCGGAACTCTGGGCCAGCTCCATCATTCGTCCTGTCAGCCGTCAGACTGCTCAATAATTGCACAAAGTGAAAGCAAGGGAAAGAGTGTGTGCTGTGCTCTCTGCCTTCCCCTAGAGTGCAGTACCAGGCTCTGTGAGTGTAGGTAACGAAGTACTGCAACTTTTTATAGGGGTGTGTGTGTAAATATACATGTATGGGTGGTTTGGTCAGGTTTAGGATGATGTGGTTATTATGGGTGGTAGAGTATGGGGCATTTGATGTACTGCTGGGTTGGATAGAAGGTAAGATATGCTTGGTAGATTTATGATTTGGTGAGTGAAATATTATGGGGGTTATGGTTGTATGCGGTGCATGGTCTGAGTATGATAGAGTGTTTTAGGGGGACATGGGAGGCTGTAATGTGGGGAGACTCTGGGGACCCTGATATAATGTGGGTAACGTTTAGCAGTGTCAGTTCATGGGATAATTTACGAGGGAGTGTTTAGGGGCAGGGTAGGGGTTGGGTGGGGCAACTGGTGGCAAGTAATTCTTAAGGCCTGGCTAGTAGCTCAGGACTTGAAATTTTGAGCCCTGTTGAATATCATTTAAAGGGACAGTGCACCAATGCAGTCTTTCTAGGGTTTTTAAAACATTTTTTGTTTTTTTTATCCTTGCACTGCATAGCGTGCAGCATCCCTCTTTTTCACTTTTGTGTGCGGTGTGGTGGTGTTTTTTTTTTTTTTTTTTTTGTTTTTTTTTTTTCTTTTTTTGTGTGTGTAATTTTTCACTTTGTTTATTCACTATTGATTTTTTTCATTTGTTTTTTTTTTTTTTTTGTTTTTTTTTGTGATTGGTTACTAATTTATTTCACACTAAGAACAGGAGGATGTTTTTGAATACACAGACTTTAAAGGTACTACTGGAGCCAATTGGAAAAAATATCTAGATAGGTATTAACATGATGAAGAACATTTGTGTACCAACATTGATCTTAAAATCTCACACACTGTGTATACATAGGAATACATGTTCAAATGAAATATTGTACACATGTGTTCCAAAAGGGAGAGGTGCTAGACACCATTGACAACCTAAAGAATTTTCAAAATGTGATATTCCAAGTGTATTAGTTATTCCAAATGTTTTTGGTTATGCATTAGGTTGTTAATGGTATCTAGCACCCTTCCTTTTTGTAAGGGATATGTACAATATTTGAGTGTATTTCAATGTATACAAAGTGTGCGGGATTTTAAAATCAAGTGAGAGTGTCTTTTCCTTTATTATTTCCTAATTTGGACTTCTTCTCACCAAGGCGTACTTTCAAAGGATGGATCTGTCAAAACTAGTGGTGGAAACACTAAAGCTACAAATATCTTGCATATTATTGGACCTACCACTGTAGCTGAATTTGAACAATCCATGGAGAGAATCCTTCAAGCTTGTCATTTGAATGGCTACAGAAGTGTTGCAATTCCAGCCATGGGAACAGGTAGAGAGATGATGAGGCTGGTTATAAAAGCATGCAAAACAAATTGTAGGATCTCTACACAGCTCTATCTAGTGGTCATAATGTGGTATTTTCTTGATATACCTCAATCAGAAAATACAAATACAACATTACGGCCACTAGATGGAGGTCACGAGCATAGAAAATAAGCATATTGCCCATGTTTATGACAATTATTCCTCACAGCTATGCAAATTCTTGAGGCATCCACCATAATGTGAATGGATATCCTAAAATGTTAGTTGCCACAGGAACAAAAGGTAGTGTGGGATTATCTTCTGATGGGAACATTTTGTTTAAGAGTGGATTTCACCTCACTTCCTGTTGTGACACTTTATATGTGTGTGTATTACACACACACACACACTTTGAAAGCACATCAGATCTCAGTGAGGAAAAATCTCCTGCTGGAAATCTATACTGATATAGACTGGGTAATGTGTTAGGAATGTAAGGATGGTCCATTGTTTGATAGAAAAGAAAATGATCAACCTACAGAGGACTGAATTCAAAGTGAAAAAATGATGCAGCAGGCTTGTCCAATTTGCTGAAATTTCATTGCAGCAACTCAAAATGGTACTCAGTAGTTTGTATGGCCCCATGTGCTTGTATGCATGCCTAACATCATCAGAGCATGCTCCTAATGAGATGACGAATGGTGTTCTGGGGTATTTTCTCCCGGATGTGGACCAGGGCATCACTGAGCTCCTGGACAGTCTGAGGTGCAACCTGGCATCGTCAGATGGACCAAAACATGATATCCCAGAGGTGTTCTATTGGTCAGATGAACGTATCAAGGTATCAATTCCTTCATCCTCCAGGAACTGCCTGCATAATCTCATCGCATGAGGCGGGCATTCTCATGCACCAAGAGGAACCCAGGACCCACAGCACCAGCGTAGGGTCTGACAATGGGTCCAAGGATTTCATCCTGATACCTAATGACAGTCAGGGTGTGTTGTCTAGCCTGTAGAGGTCTGTACATCCCTCCATGGATATGCCTCCCCAGACCATCACTGACCCACCACCAAAAGGTCATGCTGAATGACGTTATAGACAGCACAATGTTCTCCACAGCTTCTCCGGACCCTTTCACATCTGTCACATGTGCTCAGGGTGAACCTGCTCTCATCTGTGAAAAGCACAGGGTGTCAGTGGCAGACCTGCCAATTCTAGTGTTTAATAGCAAATGCCAATTGAGCTCTATGGTGCCGGACAGTGAGCACAGGGCCCACTAGAGGATGTCAGGCCACCCTCATGAAGTCTGTTTGATTGTTTGGTCAGAGACATTCACACCAGTGGCCTGCTGGAGGTCATTTTGTAGGGCTCTGGCAGTGCTCATCCTGTTCCTCATTGCACAAAGGAGCAAATACTGGTCCTGCTGATGGGTTAAGGATCTTCTATGGCCCTGCCCAGCTCTTCTAGAGTAACTTCCTGTCTCCAGGAATCTCCTCCATGCTTTTGAAACTGTGCTGGGAGATGTAGCAAACCTTCTGGCAATAGCACATATTGATGTTCCATTCTGGAGGAGTTGGACTGCCTGTGCAACCTCTGTAGCGTCCAGGTATTGCCTCATGATACCAATAGTGACACTGACCCTAGCCAAATGCAAAACTAGTGAAAAACAATTAGAAAAGATGAGTAGCGAAAAAAATGTCAGTGGCCTCCACCTGTAAAACCATTCCTGTTTTGGGAGTCGTCTCATTGTTGCCCATCTAGTGCACCTGTTGTTAATTTCATTAACACCAAAAGCAGCTGAAACTGATTAACAACCCCCTATGTTACTTAACTGGGCAGATCAATATCCCAGGAGCCTAATTGACTTGATGCTATACTCTGATTAAAACGTGTTCCTTTAATGTCTTTTGAGCAGTGTGTGTGTGTGTGTGTGTGTGTGTGTATGTGTATATGTGTATATATAATTTTATTTACTTTTTTTTTCACAGGCAAAACTCATATTGATCCAAAAGAAACAATTAATGCCATCTTGAACAGTACATTACAATACTTACCAGAAAATATTACTCCCCTCTCTGGAGACCATCTCTATAGTTGTTGTTCTAGAGAACATTTACAGGACCTATCTGAAGGTTTTTCAGAAGAAAAGCTGTCAATTGCAGGTAAACCATCACATTATGGTTTCATGTAGTAAATGGTGCATAGGACCCTGGAATTTTGCTACAGGTGGAAGGCAGAGGTGTCCTGTCTAGCCCTGCTGCTAGTAGCCTATGGAAATCTGAGAGGCTGATGGGGCTTGACAGGTATGAATGGTATGGGAAACCAGTTTGACTGGTTCATACTGTCATGCTTTTGTAACAAAGTGAAAGAAATTTTAATTAGGACAAAGACCTGTGTGCAAGTGAACTACATCTTTGCATGCTTAAGGTTGCTGCAAGTTGGCAAAAAAAGTCATCCTGGAACCAGGCACTTAATAAGACAGAAAAACCCCTGCTCTTGGTGTGGAAGCGGTGATCTCTCTGCTGATCCCACTACTTCCACTAAGACCCAAAGGTCCTTCTCTACAGCATGCTGCTATGGGTCAGCCTTTTCTACTCAAGCTGTGGTTGTTTTCCTGCTCTGCTCGACAGCTCCCCCAAAGACCAGGGCACAAAGGAAAACGGTTTTATGCATGTCTTTAACAGCACAAGACACCACCAGCCAAAAGGCTGGCCATAACAGACATTTCCTGCACACTAAAAGGCAGTGATTTACCATGCAAGAAGTGTTATACCAGCCCTATATGTTGCATTTTTCTGCACAGAAAAAAAAACAGACATAACACCAGCAACAACTCTTTGCTTTGTGTCCTTGCAGAGAAGCAGGTCTCTGTACACGGTATGAATAAGGTCTGAATGATAGCAGTGAAACTAGAGCAGGGGTGTCCAACCAGAGGCCCAAGACTGCTAAGAATGAAGCCAAACACAAAATTGTAAAATTGCTTTACAAAATGTTTTGGTTTTTTTTTTGTTTGGCGGGGGGGGTTGTAAAAATGCATTTACACTTGGCAAACGCATGCAGACAAAGAAAAATCTCCCACTCTTCACAATCGCACCTTATTCATGTCAACAGTTTGTGGCATCACCTATATTTGTGGGCAACAAGGATGAAACACACGAAGGGCAAAATTGGAGCCAAAATATCTGATGAGCACCTTACGAATTCATTGAAAATTGCTACTACAGCCATCAAACCAGATAATGATGCGGTTAGTTTATCAAAAAACGTTTCAAGTATTGCACTTGATTTATGTTGACACCTTCATTTCTTTGCAATATTTTTTATTGCAAAGAAATTTTATTAATCATATATTGGTACATTTTCTATATCGGTGATCATTAACTTGTGATCTGCCAATCTTTCTGCTCATCAGCTATCCTTATTAGTGTATTTTATGTGTGGCCCAAGACAAGTCCTCTTCTTCCAATAGAAAGTCAAAAGGTTGGGCACTCCTGTACTAGAGGGAGGATCTACAAACCTGTATATGTAATTCAACACTAGAAAGACAAACCTATTAGGCTAAAATGTAACTATTGCCCAAAACATTACCCTAACCACTACAATAATAACTCAAAATATATGAAAACACATTTCTTTCATTTGAAAAGAACCTGACATGATGAGAAAAATTTTTTTTTTAAAATTTCTTTTTCAGGAGCAACAACGAAAAGGAAATTCTAAAAGAGAAATTCAAGCACAAGGTACTTGTGGAGCGGGTAGGGAGTTATTAAAGTTGGGAATGGTTTCAACCATTTTATCTAGGGGAAGGGACTATCTAGTGAGAGGAAGCATCCCATATCTCTACCAGCTGGAAATATTACATAGTAAAAAAAAAAAAAAAAAAAAAAAAAAAAAAAAGCGCGATAGCTAAACTTTAGCAAAACTTTATTTTAAAGTAAAAAACATTTTATACTCACCTGCTCTGTGCAAATGGCATTGCACAGAGCGTCCCAATCCTCCTTTCCTTGGGTCCCCCTCCGGCAATCTTGGCGCCTCCTCTTCTTCATGTGTCCCCATAGCAAGCTGCTTGTTATGGGGGCACACGGTGTCTGCTTGCTCCCGAGCTGCGTGTCTATGGAGCATGCTTCATAGACACACACAACGGGCATTAAATATATGATACAGTGCCGCGCTTTCTGTTATCAAAGTAAAGCCCCAACAAAGTGTTTAAAATAAACCAGAAAATATACATCAATAATTAAATAAGTCAAATCTAATTTCTGTCTTTAATCCATCTTGCTTCTAAATATCATTTACTTTTATTCTCCACCACTCTTGCTGTGCTTTAAATCTCTATTTTTAATACCTCTGCCCCTGGGTGTGCGCTCACCTGGAGCCCATAACCATACAGTAAATGTAAGATCAAAAAGCACTTTATTCCTTTTATAAATACAGAAACACATTCACTTTTTTCTGGTGCTCCAACACATCGTGTATAGTCAGTATTAGAACACACGTTATTGAGAACACCGCAACATCATCCAGCCAGGACCGGCATCATCATAAGGCGATTTAGGCAGCTGCCCTAGGGCGGACCGATGGGGTATGGGGGTTGGTGGTAAAATCTGAATCCCCAGTCCTCTGCCTGCTTCCACCTGCACCTGTGCGGATCGGCAAAATGATGTGATCCGAGCCCCAGAGACTGCTAAGCCCCGGCTGTGAATGGGGGGAGCGTGGCCGATCTAATATACATTTTACCTTGGCAGTGGCCTGGATGGAGATATGGTGAGCAGGAGTATGGGGAGCAGGCAGATCACCCTTCTCTTCCTTGACGGCCTGCTGACCTGGGCTGCAGGGGCCCAGAATGGTGCGCTGAGCTGTGCATGGATGAAGGGCCAACACCGGCCCAGCCTTGAGCAGGTCTAAGCATTCTGCTCCCCTCAGATTAGGGATCCTCTGTATCTTTCAGCACCTGCCACTGTAAGACCATCCCTCAGAGGAAAATCGGCTTAGGAGATCAAGTAAGGAGGGAGAAAAGGGAATGTGTATGGGGGGATGCTAAATAGCACTTCTACTGACCACCAATGTGTATGGGGGGGTTGCCACTATAGTTGAGAGTTATTATGGTGGCCACTGACACCGATACTTGGGGTTGTAATAGCAGTCACTGACCCCAATGCTGGGGGTAATTATTGCAGCCACTGACACCAATGCTGGGGGTAATTATGGTGGCCACTGACCCCGATGCTGGGGGTAATTATTGCAGCCACTGACCCCGATGCTGGGGGTAATTATTGCAGCCACTGACCCCGATGCTGGGGGTAATTATTGCAGCCACTGACCCCGATGCTGGGGGAAATTATTGCAGCCACTGACCCCGATGCTGGGGGATATTATGGTGGTCACTGACCCCGATGCTGGGGGATATTAGGGTGCTCACTGACATCAATGCTAGGCGTTATGCAGCCAGCCATTACTGCCACCAATGCAAGGGACTGTTATTGCTGCCACTGCCACCAGTGCTGGGGGCGGTTATGGCGGTCACTGATGCCAGTGCTGGGGGCGGTTTATGGCGGTCACTGACGCCAGTGCAGGGGGCGGTTATGGCGGTCACTGACGCCAGTGCTGGGGGTTATAACTGCAGCCACTGAACCACTATAGCTTAATGGAGAACAAATGATGTAGATTGTGCATTTTGGAGTGGGGGGGTGGGAGGACATTTGGGGGGGGGGGGAGACCCCAAAATGCACTTTCGCCTGTGTAGACAAACATCCTTGCACCTGCCCTCCATCCAGCTCCTCTCCTACGTGTTACGCCACTAGGTCACGCGGCTTCACCAGGGCTAAATACAACCAAGGAGACCATCTTTTCATTTAATTTGGTCCAACATCTTTTGCTTTTATAGGTGGCACTGAAAAAAGGGAAAAGTAGAGCATATCAGGGATCTCCATCTGTCCAGAGTTTGAGGAGTTGGAGATTGAGAGAACGATTGCTTTCCTAGCACAAATTAACAATAGGCCAAGTGGTTCTATGTGATTTTCTGACAGTCAAGGGTTTCACCAGGTATAACAGACAGACCCCGGGATCCTGGATGATCGAGATGTTGGTCAAAGTAATAATATAATGCAAAACATGAATCCAATAGGCACTTGTTCTGCTAAATGTCAAAAAAGTGGAAAAGTCCACCACTGCAAAAGGACCTCTCCAGCTAGTGCTAGTGTAGTTGAAACTTCCCAGTTTTGCTTGTGTGAGATAACGATGTACGATTCTGAACTGCAGAAGTCTATCTCTGGCTGAAATTGATTGTTGGCATGGGTAAGCCCATATTCACCCCAGTCACCGCTGTTTAGACCCAGCACATCTTGTGAGCATTTTTCTCTACACTTGTTTAAAGCCAGAGGCTTTTGTAATGCCTTATTTGTATTGGCTTGAGTTTGAGGGGGCATGGCTTGGCAATGGTGGTGTGAGGCCACATTTCTGGTGAACTCTGCTAGGCATGGCCTCCTTACTTGCAGTAATCCATCTATATGGCTAATCTACCCATGCCGCTTCCCATGGAAGCACTTGTGTGTTCATTCCCAAGCCCCGCTGCTTCATCCATTGGCACAGATAGTGGGACTCTGCCCTGCCCCTGCTCCCCATCACTGGCTTTGATTGACAACATTGGGAGCCAATGGCTCCTGTTGCCCCAGCAAAGCCAGCGAGACACAAGTGAGGATAAAGAAGAGCCACAGGCTTGCACAGCGTTGGATGGAATGAGGGCTCAGGTAAGTAAAAAGGGGCAGTGAGGGGGGATGCTGATGCCTAAATATTTTTTACCTTTCACACAAGGAATGCATTAAGGTACAAAATGTTTAGGAAGAGGATGAAAGAGCGCACAAACTTTGCACATTACCTCAATAAATAGTGACTATTTAATTTAATTTAGGAAATATACAAAGGTGACTGTAAAACAGGCATAAGTAAACTATATCCACACAGGGTTACAGGTAAATCCAAAGGGGGGGATAAAAACTAACGCGATTGGATGGGTGCCCTTCTTCATCAGAGCTGGGTTGAGTAGATAGAAACTTCAGTATGGCAGAGTTCCCATAGCAAGGAGACATTCAGCCACTGAGTGTCAGTATTTCAGCAGTTCAGCCTGTTTTGACTAAACAGGCTGAATTGCTAAATAATATTTCCTAAATTAAATAAAATTAGTCACTATTTATTGAGGTAATGTGCAAGGTTTGTGCGCTCTTTCTTTCATCCTCTTCTACAGTTTTATCAAGCTTTCCCAGCTTCATGATAGAGCTACACAACCTCTGATCACCAGCGGATGAACACGCTGCTTGTTACTAACGCCCGTTTGATCTGAGTCTTTGAGCGCAGGAGATAATGGATCTTTGGAGACAAAATGTTTAGGCTTTAGAAACACTTTAATATCTGTAAACTATGTAAGATATAAATGCTGAAAATTACATTTTTATGTTTATTCTTTGACAGTGATAATTACCTATCCACCAACCTGGATAAACCCTGGAATAGAACCTTTTCAAGAGATCTCTCTGGACCAAACATCTAAAGAATACAAAAACGTAAAAAAACAAATTTTTTGAAAACCTCAGGACATTCATATAATGATGTGAAGGTAGAGTATTAGGTTTTATTTTTTATTATGCTGGAAAAAAAGCAAGTTTCATCAAATGACTTTAATTGCTGTGCAAGGGTTACAATTTGAAAGAAGGGTACGTGAAAATAATGCTTATCCTCTGTAAGCAATACGACTAAAAGGCATTATATGGCAGCTGTCCATGCTTGATCTGAAAATGATTGTTTTACATGCATCCAAGATGACAAAAAAAAAAACATTTTTCTTCATAGTTGAGCTTTCAAGAGGAACTGGAAGCCATTCCTGAAAAAAAAAAGTCACCAGTTTTGCTTGTGGTCTCCCTACAGCTAATCTTCCCCTAATTACTTGCCATGCCTTGTTGTGCACTGTGTGGAGACAGCCATCTTGGTGTAGGCAGGGCTTTGCTTCCTCATGTCAAAGCTTCCAGCAAGAGAACAGGGAGCAGCACTGTAGTGACATCATCATTTGGAGTAAATCTTACTCCAGGCCATCAGTATATCAGGATTGATCAATTTTCTAATCTATATATACCATAGCTTGTAGACTCTATAACCTGCACAAAGATTAAATCATTTACACTGATCTGAAAATGATTAGTCTACATCTATCCATGGCAATTGAAAACATTTTTTTGTTTTATAGCCGAGCTTTCAAGAGGAACTGAACACTGGAAGCAGCGCCCAGAAAAAATAGGCATCAGTTCTGCCTGTGGTCTCCCTGCAGCTAATCTTCCCCTCATTACTGATTTGCCATGCCTTGTTCTGCACTGTCTCTGTGTGGCCATCTTGGTGTAGGCAGGGCTTTGCTTCCTCGTGTTAGAGCTTCCAGAAAGAGAACAGGGAGCAGCACTGTAGTGACCTCATTTGGAGTAAATCTTATTCCAGGCCATCAGTACATCACGATTGATCAATTTTCAAATATACCATAGTTTGTAAACTCTAGAACTTGCACAAAGACTAGATAATATACACGGATTTAGGTTCTTTATACCAAAGAAATGTAGCAGAATTAATTGTGGCCTAAATTTATGAAGAAAGATTATTTGCAAAATGTTATAACCCAAACAAAGAAAGTTTTGCATGACTGAGTAATAGTGTTGCATGACTGAGTAATAGGCATTCAAAGTGTGAGAGTGCTGAAATCTGAAAACTGACCTGGGCAGGAAGGGGGTGAATGTGTCCGGGTATTGAGGTAAACCATTAGCAACCATGTTTTTGTATTGTTGAATTTATAGATAACCCGGATTCAGAACAAGAAACTGTGGCACAGTTTCTCACTAAACAAGAAGACAGTGGAACAAAACAATCCTGGACTGGAAAATATACGACACCTGTACCATGGTACAACTGTAGATAAGATCTGCAATATCAATCATGGAGGTTTCAACCGGATTTATTGTGGAAAAAATGGTAAGTATCCAGCCTCTCATGCTACATTCATGAGCCAGATTACACATTAGACAGAACCAGCAGTTGCATAAGACCCTGCAAAAAACTGGAGAGCATGGCACACTATGGGGTTGATGTACTATATGCAAATAAACAGTGCACTTTGCAAGTTCTTTGCTCCAGAGCTTAGTAAATGAGGTAAGGCTTCATATATCAAAGAATACCCAATCACATGCAAGGCAAATTAAAAAAAAAAAAGTTTTGCTTGCACATGATTGGATGATTGAAGTCAGCAGAGCTTCCTCTCCATTTGCTAAGATCTGGTGCAACTGTACTTGCAAAGTGCACGGTCTGTTTGCCTTTAGGAAATCAAACCTTTGTGTTTCAACATTTTAAGAGCCTGACATCCCAGCAGTGCAGAATCTCAGAAAAGGAGTAGCATTTCTGTAATTGTTTTTTTTAACCCCTTACTTTAAAAAGAGATCCAATCATCAACATAAACAATTGCAGGTAAGGGCACCAAACAACTAAATATTTTAAATGCTTACTTGAGGTTTTTTTACTTGCAATGTGCCTTTTTGAACTTGCCAGAAATTCAGGCTACTCTAGAAAGAGTCAATTCCCTAGCACAGCCTCCTCCCTCTTTGCATGGCATAACCACCTTCTTTTCTTCTGTCTAATTACTCTCTGTGCTGGCCCATCTCCTCTACCCATCTCTTCATCACCCTATTTATCCTTTTATGTAGCAGCCTTCCTAACATTTAGTGACATCACGTGTATGCCCCTTCCCAGCCTTTATAGAACGAAAGTAGTAGAACTGTAGCTTCTAATATCAGCACACTTTCCTGTCTAGGGTTCCAGTGGCGTCATCACCTAGGCTAGTTCTTCACTAGACTCCGAGTTTGCAGTGCCAGCATTGCAAGTAAGGGGAACCGGAAGTGAAGCCTTGTGGTTTCATAGCCAGTTTCCTACTGCGAATGCCTGAGTTGCATTGCGCCTTGTAATTGGTCCCTCAGTCTTCTAGAACCTGTGAAGTGTCCCAGAAGACTGCGGGGGAGAAGGCCGTGGTTGAACTGAGCCGGAAGTGTCAAAACCAGGTACCCACTCCCCCTCAAAAAATCCAAATGTGGCAGTGGAGGGTGCAAACAAGTGGAGCTTCCCCTTTTGGGGTGAGCTTCACTTTAAAGTGGTTGTAAACCCTTACATATACCCAGTGAAGTGACTGACCTCAGGTAATACACAGAGATTAAACTAATCCTTGTACACGAGTTGTACCTGTTTATCTGCAGTATTCTCTTCTCTACAGACATTCAAAGTGCTGAATTTATAAAGCTTGTCTAAGAGTTCAGAAAAAAGGGGGCAGAGATCTGAAATTACACACTGCAGAGCTTAGTGAGAACTCTGAGAGCTGATTGGAAGGAAGAGACTCGCCCCCTTTCACACAGCTTACAGGAACAGAGCTGAGGCTTTCAATCTGTTGGAGGTCCCTCCCCTGTCACCACTTTGCTCTTGGTGTCAGGAAAACCTGTGAGAAGCGATTCATGCTAATAGCAGAGGAACAAGGCAGCAGACAGAAATGACACTTGATATGTACACACTATAGAGGGATGACGTTTTGCTCATATTTCATGTCTGAGGTTTACAACCACTTTAAGCCTGCTCTGCCTCTCACCCTCTGTCTGCCTGGTGCTGAAAGCTATAGGGCATTGTGATAGGAACAACTGATGTATGGGGGACTTTGATGGGGGCAGTTGATGTAAGGGGGGGGGGCAGTGCAATTACCTGTAAATGATTGGCCCTGGAAGCAGATAGTCTTCTCAAGTGTGAGAAGTGCAGCTCTCAATTTTGATGCACATTCTCCAATTTTCCTTCACCTCTTGCCTGTGATGACATTTTGGATCCCTGTTCAATTTTTGTACCAATGACAAAAGTCATATGGAGAAAATAGAAAACCCATGCAAACCTCTTTTTGTCTGCATCTGAGATCTCTAATATATTTAAAAAAACGGACATATTTATTTTCTTGCTGCTTAGCGTGTCAACAGTTGGGCGTTGTTTCCTATCTGTGGTCCCCAATTTTTCATCAACTCTTTATACCAGCCAGCATTCATACCTCGGGTCCAGAGCATGTCCCAGGATCCAGGCTTGACCACGAATGGGGCACCTCAAGGCAGGAGGACAGAAAAGATGAATTGCATTTAATAATGAGATTATTCAGGCATTAAAGAATTCAGAGCATTAATGGAAATGCTAAACACAAATGCACCAGACTGCCTATAGGGCAGTAGGGATACAGCCAACTGCTTATCCATGCAGGAGACTTAAAGTAGAACCAAAGGCAATACTTTATTGTTTGGACAGAGTAAGGGAGGGTTATAACCCCTGTCAGGATCATTTTCCTTCCGTGTCCCACAGGGGAGATTTCCCTTCACTGCCTGACCCATAGCCAAAACAAAGGAGAGAGAACCCCCCCCCCCCCCCTTAGTGTCCACATGGGAAGATTTCCCCTTGATTACTATTCTGGGGTAAAACTGAAAATTGGGGTTTTCTTTTATTTTCCTTTTCAATAGTATTCTTGCTAAATAGTGAGGATGAGCCTCCCTAGCGGGAGCCCAGAGAGGATGAACTCCCTAGCAGGAGCCCAGACGGTTCTTCCAATCCTTCTCCACTCTGTCCAAAAGTAAAAAAAAATGCCGTTTGTTATACTTTAAACCTTTTCAGTGTAAGCTAAATAAAAATATTGAACATAAGTAACTTTTCAGTTTAAACAATTGACATAGTCATTTAATTAGCATTGAAGAATGATCTGCCAAATGTTGCAGAGCCATAGCAATAGTGATAAGAATCCACAAACAAAGAAGAGTGGCAAGATAAAATACAATACAATGGTTACCCACTAATGTTAAGGCAAAAAAACAATGAGCATCAATCACGATGTTACATGGGATTGATGATGATGGAATTGGCTCTGATGTAAAGGTGAGAACATCGCCCAAGACATAGAGAGGTAAAGTCAATGCGCAGCTAATAATTATGAATGGGAGAAGGCAAAAGGGAACCGAGGGAAGAGGGAGAATGAGAAAAAAAAAGGGGGTTTAAATGAATATGTAAACCCAACATTTCATAGTCCTGCTATGCTATGTACTTGTATGAAAAAGTATCCTATTCTCTTTGTATTGCTTGCCTTATGTGACATCCCTGGTGTTCCTGTCAGTCCCTCTGCTTTCCAATGTTAAAAAAAAAAAAAAACAAACTAACCACACTAAGCATGAGAGCACAGTGTGCTCAGTTCTCTAGCTGTGCTGGAACTCAGCCTGCTATCCTCCAGTGATTAGGCTTCATGTACACCAGAAGCTGCTAAATTCGAGTTTAGGCGCTTTTTGGCATTTTTTTTTTTTTTTTGGCCAAAGCTCCTAAACTCAACTCCATAAAAGCCTATGGGATTTAATTACTAAAGCTGGTTCGCTCAGAATCTTGTGCACTTCTGCATGGAAACCAATCGGCTTCCAGGTTTTATTGCTAAAGCTTAATTGAACAAGCTGAGGTTAGAATCTGGCTACCATGCCCAGGTGAATGAGATTCTGAGTGAACCAGCTTTAGTAAATAAACCCCTATGTGTCCTTGTACACATAGGCTTTTAGCAGACTTTGAGTTGCCATGTTTAGGTGAGGTTAAACCTCCCCCTCCTGAACGGAAAGAATCGCGTTCAGGATAGGAACATTTTGACCACCGACCATGGGAAAACGAAAAACGTGGCAACTGCGGTATCAGGTTTTTTGCATCTCCCGGCGGCCGGCAGTCAGAGCAGGTTCATGTAGCCTTAGACTTCTGCTTACCCCCCCCCCCTCCTCCTTTCACAACCATTCATTAGGTAGTTCAATTTGCTGCTGTTTCTCCTCCCCCAGCTCTATGTGCCCTTTATGCAGCTGAGAACAGAGAGTATGTGATCACTTATTAAAAAAAAAATGAAATACTTCTTTTTTTATATATATATATATATATATATATATATATATATATATACACACACAAATTTTTATTTAATTTCTATTTTTAACTGACTTGGTCATTATACAAGTTGAGGGTTTACATGTACTTTAAAGCTGTGAATTTGCTAGGGTGATGGAACGTATGAGTTCTAATGCTATTTTTCATGTTTGGTATCTTGTCTTGCTGTATACCATTTTCTTAAAGTGTACCTATGATCAGAATGTAAAATCATATATTGATATCCCATATTGTATTCAATTATTTGCAGCCTTGAATTCCATGATACATAGTCACTATGCCCTGCTAATAGGCACTACTGTTGGCACATTTCACAGAGCCTGCCTTCTGAACTACAGAGGTGCTGAGAGGAGGAGTTTTAGGAGGCGGAGTCAGTGTCAGTACAGGGATCACTGCTTGCAGGCAGTAAGGTACCATGGGATATATAGTCCTTTGGAACTGAAATGAAAGCGAGAGCTGCTGCAAAGCATGCAGGGAATCCAGGAAAATGTTAAAGGGGTAGTGTAAGGGACCGCCCGGCGGTACCACTAGCACTCCACTGATCGGATGTTCCCAGCGCACGGAGTCTAAGCCCCAGAGTACTTGTTCACCAGGGCCCCTGATGGTGGGGATGGACTTGGAGTACCCCAGGACCAGGTCGTGACTACTGAGGACACCCGTCAGTGGTAGGAGTATTCGCCAGGGGTTCCCACGGGAGAGATCCAGGTATGAGGAGGTCTGGAGACCCCGTTGAGAGGGACGGATGGATGGATGGCTGGCTGAGCAGGAGCAGGGTCATACAAGCCGGGTTGGTAACTATGGGGACGGTGCGCTACAGAGCAGCGGGCAAAGAATAGTCGGGTCACACGCCAGGTCAGCTACAGCAGGTCAGATCCAATAGGGGGCATTCAGGAGAGAGGTCAGGCAAGCAAGGGTCAAGAACAGGAGAAAACAGCAAGGTCAGGGCACAATCCGGGTCAGCAACTTACTTTAAACAGGTTCACAGGTTCACAGGATACAAGAGACCAAAAGGCACTGAATGACAGCTCAGGGCCGTTTAAATATCCCGCCCTGCGCTGTCATTGGTGCCAGGCGCGCGCCCGTGGACACTACTGCGCATGCGCGAACCTGATTGCCGCGGTCGGCCAAGTCCCAGCGCTCGCGTACAGGGAGGTGTACTGCGCCTGCGCCGAGCCGCGCGGCGATCTCCGACAGGTAGCCAGGAAGAAGTCACTTTTCAGCAGATTCCCAACAATTATTTGCTTAAGAGGACTGAATGCACTAAGACATGTTAAATCTATTGAATAATAAATTTCGGGTTACATACACTTATGTTTTTTCCCTAATCTCTCAGGTTCTGCTTGTGGCTATGGGACTTATTTTGCTGTTAAATCAGATTATTCCTGTGATGACAAATATTCAGCTCCAGACCAGAAAGGCTACAAGAGTGTTTACCAGGCTGCAGTAATCACTGGAAGATATTGTAAAGGAGACTCTTCCCTCCGGGAGCCACCATATATCAATGCACAGACCAAAAATCAACGTTATGATTCTGTTGTGGACGACATGCAAAATATAACATATTTTGTTGTGTTTCATGATGACCATGCATATCCAGAATACCTGATTACTTTTAAACCCTAAGCAATGTTGATGATACAATGTCTATACTACTTATGATCAGCCAGAAATATGACATTGACCAGAACGCCAAGCAAACCTACAACAGCTGCAAGAAGAGACGTGTGGAAAAGTTGCTGTCCAATAGCATTTACTTTGTTTTTCTTGTGTTTTACTAAAGGAATCCTGCTGATTTTGTACTGAAGATTTGGACAGGAGGGGTTTACTGTTAATTTGCAATTTTTTAAGCCGAATCACTGAATATGCAACCTGTAAGCCAGCAATGACTACCTGCTAACATGACACATCTGAGAGTTTTTTTTAGGATGTGTAAGGGCTAATCCAAAAATAAATAGCTGATATAAAATTGATTAGAGATATTAACAGCTAATAGTTTTTTTTAAACCATGGGAATGGAAGTCAATGTGTTAAGGTTTAAAGTGTATCACTTGAGATTAGTGACAGAAACCAATTCTGTAGACCAGGCATGTCCAAAGTCCGGCCCGCGGGCCAATTGCGGCCCGTGTCCTGGACTGAAACGGCCCCACAGGTGAGCTACCCAAATATATAACCTACGGCCCCCGGTAGTGATTCCCTGAAAGCTACTGAGGACTCCAGCGATCTCTAGCTGCGCCACTTGACATCATCAGCTGGCGCAGGAAGGAGAGCCCAAATCTCGCGACGTCCGAGATCTCGTGAGATTTGGGCTTTCCTTCTCTGTGTGCCGGCTGATGACGTCAATTCCCGCTCGACAGATCCCTGGAGTCCTCAGTGGCGTTCGCAGAATCACTAGTGGAGGGCCGTAAGTTATATATTGGGCAGCTCATCTGTGGGGTCCGGAACGTGGGCCGAGGAATCCCAGGTGGTGCGCAGGGAATTACTACTGGGGCTACCATTTATCAATTTGGGCTATAATGGATTGGTGCTCAGGATCGCTTGACGTCATCAGACAGTGCAAGGAGAAACAAAGGCCAAATCTCGAGATCCTGCGAGATTTGGGCTTTCCTTCTCCCTGTGCTGGCTGATGACGTCAAGGCCAACGGCAAGAGAGTGCTGAGCCTCCACACAAAGCCACAAGGGCCACCATTAAGGCAGAATATTAAAAGAAGTAAAAAAAAACAGAGATTAAAGGCAGTGATTTAACACCTGTTTAGATTTGTCATCCAAGTCACAAAATGAAAAGTTTGCCGTTTTCAATAAACTTTTGCATAAAATAGTTCATTTGCATTTAATTTTAATGGTTCATCAGAATGTCGGGCCAAATGGTCGGCCCTCGCACATGTTCACTTCATCAAATCTGGCACTCTTCCAAAAAAGTTTGGACACCCCTGCTGTAGACTGTGCAGCTGCTTGAAACCTGATGACTTCTAGGCTGGTTAAAATTCAATCGTTCTTTATGAAGGCTTACTGTGCTCTAAGTGGTGTTAGCCCCAGTTCGCACTGGTGTGCTGTAATTGTGTCCATGTTTTACACCTGGTTCCCTTTGACTTCTATTAGACCATTTTTAAAGTGCATCAAAGATGGAGCATGCAGGATTTTCATGCACTTTCACGAAGTGTACAGTCTAATAGAAGACAGTTGGAGTGCACATAAATCTGCATCTAAAACACAGATGAATTTTGCTGTGCCCAAAGCATAGCACATGGATGTGAACCTACTCAGGCAAGGAGAGCCTTCTTTGCTCCTTGCCTAACCTCCAAGAAGGCATCTCTCAGTTGGACTGGGAAAAAAAAGGGGGGGTTAGCTATTTTGTACTATTTTCATATTATGGCCCATGGGAGCATTTAATATATCACAAAGGCTACTCAATGTATTCATCTGTCCACCCAGTCCTGACATAGAGATCATTTGTGACCTTGCCCTCTATGGCTAGAGATTATGGGGGTAATTCATTAAAGCATCATATTTCTTATGGGACAGGACCTTTTAAAATGTCCTGCACCAAATTCCTGAAAGCATTTCAACAGTTTAGGTAACATTTGTCAAAAACAATTGATCACCTGTGCGCTTTTTTATTTTTCACGCTATAAAAAAAGGCCAAAAATTTTGAAGAAAAACAATATTTTTTACTTTCAGCTATAAAACATATATAGTAAACTCAAAGTTGGTTATAAATTTAGGCCAAAATGTATTTTGCTACATGTTTTTGGCAAAAAAATCCCAATAAGTGTATATTGATTGCTATGGGTGGAAGTTATAGCTAGAGATAGAGCGAATTATTCAAAAATTCGATTAGGCTGATTCGGCGAATTTGTGGAAAAAAAATGTTTGAGTCGAATATATTCGCTGCGAAATTTAACTTATAAAAGGGTGTTTCTAGGCTTCAGAGAGCCTTTATATTAGTGCAGAACACTGTACCTTTAATTTAAATGCCCTTGGAGTCTGCTGGGGAAGAGAAATAATACTGTCAGTCAGTATGACATGCAGATGAGTGCCGTCGATCTTAGAATCACCGCACACTTCACTCATTTGGGCAGTCACGGGCCAAAACCAGAGTGTGGAGCCACAGTGTGGCGGTGGAGGCAGCAGCAATGGGAGGCCATACAGCAACCTATGACAAAAATGGAACCCACCAGCAGTGTGAGGAGACCTGAAAGTGGCACATGGCAGAGTGTGGCGATGGAGACAGCAGCAATGGGAGGCGGTACAGGGACCCATGACACACTGTGGACCTGGCAGCAGCATGAGGAGGCGGTACAGGGGCCCATGGCAGATTAGGGGCCTGGCAGCAGCAATGGGAGGCCCGTAATCTGCCAGCACCCTATCACAAAACGGAACCCAGCAGCAGTGTGAGGAGACCTGAAAGTGGCACATGGCAGAGTGTGGCGATGGAGACAGCAGCAATGGGAGGCCGTACAGGGACCCATGACACACTGTGGACCTGGCAGCAGCATGAGGAGGCGGTACAGGGGCCCATGGCAGATTAGGGGCCTGGCAGCAGCAATGGGAGGCCCGTAATCTGCCAGCACCCTATGACAAAATGGAACCCACCAGCAGTGTGAGGAGACCTGAAAGTGGCACATGTTTGGGGCATGATTCATGGCGGATTTAGTCAGTTGTGTCAGGAACTGGTGGTTTGAAATCCAGACTAATCCACGCCTGATTCATTTTCACAAACGTGAGTCTCTCCACACTTTGGGTGGACAGTCGTTTCCTCCGCGGAGTTACAATACCTCCTGCCGCACTAAACACGCGCTCCGATGCCACGCTACTGGCCGGGCCGGGCATGACAGCCTTTCAAGGGCAAATTCAGCTAGTTGGGGCCAAAGGTCAAGTTTCGTTGCCCAGTAGTCAAGGGGATTGTCTACCTCGGTTGGCAGGGTGCTATCCAAGTAGACCCAAGCCTGTTGTTTGAGGTCCTGCTCCAGGTCCACCTGATGCTGCTGCTGCTGCAGCTGGTTAGTAGTTTCCTCACTGCTCTGGTGAAGAAAGCTACTCATCATCGACTGCAGACTGAGGCAGACGCTGCTGGTGGAGCTGCCACTGCTCCTACCACCCCACCCCACCCCTCCCCTGCTGCCATGGCAGCGGAACGCGAGCGCACAGGGCCCACAGTGTCTGAGGATGGACGTTGGCGCAGAAAGGCAGAGACCAACTGACTACATAGGTGGTTTTTTATAGTACGTTATTTTGGCCTCCCTCTCAGCAGGTGTGAAAAAGGCCACCATTTTGGAACGGTAGCGAGGGTCCAACAAGGTGGACAGCCAAAAGTCATCCCTCTGTCTGATGGTTATTATTCGGCTGTCGCTACGCAAGCAACCGAGCATGCTATGGGCCATTTGTGCCAAGGAATGTGAGGGACTCCCTGCCTCCATCTCCACAGCATACTGCCACGGTGCGTCTGGGTCCTCTGTCTCCTCCTCCTCCTCTACCAGATGCTCCTGTTCCTCCACTCCTGTCCGCTGAGTGGAAAAACCACCCATTTCACTCAATAATTCCTCAGCACCAATGTCCTCCTCTACCTCCTCCTCTTCTTCCTGTCCTGCCCCCACAGGGGTCATGTGGCGTTGAGATCTCTGTGCGCCACGTCTACCACACCCTGACCAGCCATTGTTAACAGCATTTGTTCCCAGGACGTGCAACAGAGGAATGACGTCGTTCATCCCATAGTCCTGCCGACTCACGAATAGCGTGGCCTCCTCAAAAGGCCTGAGCAAGCGGCAGGTGTCACGCATGAGCTGCCAATGGCTGACATCTAAGTTACACAGGGGAGTACCTTATCCGCTTGTAACATCAGGAAAATCGGTGATGGCCTTTCGCTGTTCGTAAAGGCGGGTCTAACATATGTAGGGTTGAATTCCACCTTGTTGCAACGTCACAGCATGAGGAGTCGGTACGGGGGCCCATGGCAGATTACGGGCCTGGCAGCAGCAATGGGAGGCCCGTAATCTGCCAGCACCCCTATGAAAAAATGGAACCCACCAGCAGTGTGAGGAGACCTGAAAGTGGCACATGGCAGAGTGTGGCGATGGAGACAGCAGCAATGGGAGCCGTACAGGGACCCATGAGACACTGTGGACCTGGCAGCAGCATGAGGAGGCGGTACAGGGGCCCATGGCAGATTAGGGGCCTGGCAGCAGCAATGGGAGACGCCCGTAATCTGCCAGCACTCTATGACAAAATGGAACCCAGCAGCAGTGTGAGGAGACCTGAAAGTGGCACATGGCAGAGTGTGGCGATGGAGACAGCAGCAATGGGAGGCGGTACAGGGACCCATGAGACACTGTGGACCTGGCAGCAGCATGAGGAGGCGGTACAGGGTCCCATGGCAGATTAGGGGCCTGGCAGCAGCAATGGGAGACGCCTGTAAATCTGCCAGCACCCTATGACAAAATGGACAGCACCAGCAGTGTGAGGAGACCTGAAAGTGGCACATGGCAGAGTGTGGCGATGGAGACAGCAGCAATGGGAGGCCGTACAGGGACCCATGAGACACTGTGGACCTGGCAGCAGCATGAGGAGGCGGTACAGGGGCCCATGTCAGATTAGGGGCCTGGCAGCAGCAATGGGAGGCCCGTAATCTGCCAGCACCCTATGACAAAATGGACAGCACCAGCAGTGTGAGGAGACCTGAAAGTGGCACATGGCAGAGTGGGGCGATGGAGACAGCAGCAATGGGAGGCGGTACAGGGACCCATGAGACACTGTGGACCTGGCAGCAGCATGAGGAGGCGGTACAGGGGCCCATGGCAGATTAGGGGCCTGGCAGCAGCAATGGGAGACGCCCGTAATCTGCCAGCACTCTATGACAAAATGGAACGCAGCAGCAGTGTGAGGAGACCTGAAAGTGGCACATGGCAGAGTGTGGCGATGGAGACAGCAGCAATGGGAGGCGGTACAGGGACCCATGAGACACTGTGGACCTGGCAGCAGCATGAGGAGGCGGTACAGGGGCCCATGGCAGATTAGGGGCCTGGCAGCAGCAATGGGAGACGCCCGTAATCTGCCAGCACTCTATGACAAAATGGAACCCAGCAGCAGTGTGAGGAGACCTGAAAGTGGCACATGGCAGAGTGTGGCAATGGAGACAGCAGCAATGGGAGGCGGTACAGGGACCCATGAGACACTGTGGACCTGGCAGCAGCATGAGGAGGGCAGTACAGGGGCCCATGGCAGATTAGGGGCCTGGCAGCAGCAATGGGAGACGCCCGTAATCTGCCAGCACTCTATGACAAAATGGAACCCAGCAGCAGTGTGAGGAGACCTGAAAGTGGCACATGGCAGAGTGTGGCGATGGAGACAGCAGCAATGGGAGGCGGGTACAGGGACCCATGAGACACTGTGGACCTGGCAGCAGCATGAGGAGGCGGTACAGGGGCCCATGGCAGATTACAGGCCTTGCAGCAGCAATGGGGAGGCCCGTAATCTGCCAGCAACCTATGACAAAATGGAACCCAGCAGCAGTGTGAGGAGACTGAAAGTGGCACATTGCAGAGTGTGGCGATGGAGACAGCAGCAATGGGAGGCCGTACAGGGACCCATGAGACACTGTGGACCTGGCAGCAGCATGAGGAGGCGGTACAGGGGCCCATGGCAGATTAGGGGCCTGGCAGCAGCAATGGGAGGCCCGTAATCTGCCAGCAACCTATGACAAAATGGAACCCAGCAGCAGTGTGAGGAGACCTGAAAGTGGCACATGGCAGAGTGTGGCGATGGAGACAGCAGCAATGGGAGGCGGGTACAGGGACCCATGAGACACTGTTGATCTGGCAGCAGCATGAGGAGGCGGTACAGGGGCCCATGGCAGATTACAGGCCTGGCAGCAGCAATGGGAGGCCCGTAATCTGCCAGCAACCTATGACAAAATGGAACCCAGCAGCAGTGTGAGGAGACCTGAAAGTGGCACATTGCAGAGTGTGGCGATGGAGACAGCAGCAATGGGAGGCCGTACAGGGACCCATGAGACACTGTGGACCTGGCAGCAGCATGAGGAGGTGGTACAGGGGCCCATGGCAGATTAGGGGCCTGGCAGCAGCAATGGGAGGCCCGTAATCTGCCAGCAACCTATGACAAAATGGAACCCAGCAGCAGTGTGAGGAGACCTGAAAGTGGCACATTGCAGAGTGTGGCGATGGAGACAGCAGCAATGGGAGGCCGTACAGGGACCCATGAGACACAGTGGGACCTGGCAGCAGCATGAGTAGGCGGTACAGGGGCCCATGGCAGATTACAGGCCTGGCAGCAGCAATGGGAGGCCGTAATCTGCCAGCAACCTATGACAAAATGGAACCCAGCAGCAGTGTGAGGAGACCCTGAAAGTGGCACATTGCAGAGTGTGGCGATGGAGACAGCAGCAATGGGAGGCGGTACAGGGACCCATGAGACACTGTGGACCTGGCAGCAGCATGAGGAGGCGGTACAGGGGCCCATGGCAGATTAGGGGCCTGGGCAGCAGCAATGGGAGGCCCGTAATCTGCCAGCACCCTATGACAAAATGGAACCCAGCAGCAGTGTGAGGAGACCTGAAAGTGGCACATGGCAGAGTGTGGCAAATGGAGACAGCAGCAATGGGAGGCGTTACAGGGACCCATGAGACACTGTGGACCTGGCAGCAGCATGAGGAGGCGGTACAGGGGCCCATGGCAGATTAGGGGCCTGGCAGCAGCAATGGGAGGCCCGTAATCTGCCAGCAACCTATGACAAAATGGAACCCAGCAGCAGTGTGAGGAGACCTGATAAGTGGCACATGCAGAGTGTGGCGATGGTGAGACAGCAGCAATGGGAGCACCGGTACAGGGACCTCAATGAGACACTGTGGAACCTGGCATTCCAGCATGAGGAGGCGGTACAGGGGCCCATTGGCATGATTAGGGGCCTGGCGTGCAGCAATGGGAGAGCGCCTGTAATCTGCCTGCAACCCTATGACAAAAGATGGGAACCCAGCAGCAGTGTGAGGAGACCTTGAAAGTGTCACATTGCAGAGTGTGGCGAGATGGAGACAGCAGCAATGGGAGGCCGTAGTTACAGGGACCCATGAGACACTGTGAATCCTTGGCTCGCAGCATGAGGAGGCGCCACGGTACAGGGGCCCATGGCAGATTACAGGCCTCGGCAGCTACGCAATGGGGAGGCCCGTAATCTGCCAGCAACCTATTGACCAAAATGGAACCCAGCAGCAGTGTGAGGAGACCTGAAAGTGGGCACATGGCAGAGTGTGGCGATGGAGACTTTATAGCAGCAATGGGAGGCCGTACAGGGACCATGTGACACTGTGGACCTGGCAGCAGCATGAGGAGGGCGGGGCGGTACATGCGGGCCCATGGCAGATTAGGGGCCTGGCAGCAAGCATGGGAGGCCCGCAATCTGCCAGCACCCACCCTATGACAGTAAATGGACAGCACCAGCAGTGTGAGACCTGAAAGTGGCACATGCAGAGTGTGGCGGATGGAGGAACAGCAGCAATGGGAGGCGTGGGTACCAGGGACCATGAGAGATCTGTGGACACTTGTGGACCCCGGCTAGCAGCATGGGGGGGGTGCTGGTTACAGGGTGCCCCATGGCAGAGTTACAGGCCTGGCAGCAGCAATGGAGGGCCCCGTAATCTGCCAGCAACCTATGACAAAATGGGAACCCAGCAGCAGTGTGAGGAGACCTGAAAGTGGCACGTATGGCAGATTGCATAGTGTGGCAGATGGAGACAGCAGCAATGGGAGGCCGTACAGGGACCCATGAGACACTGTGGACCTGGCAGCAGCAAGAGGAGCGCGGTACAGGGGGCCCATGGCAGATTAGGGGCCTGGCTAGTGCAGCAATGGGAGGCCCGCAATCTGCCAAAGCACCCCTATGACAAACTATGGACAGCACATGCAGTGTGAGGTGAGACCTGAAAGTGGCACAGAGTATGTGCAGAGTGTGGCGATGGTGACAGCAGCAATGGGAGGTGGGTACAGGGACCCATGAGACACTGTTGGACCTGGCAATAGCAGCATGAGGAGGCGGTTGGTACAGGGGCCCTTTGGCAGATTAGGGGCCTTGGCAGCAGCAATGGGAGGCCCGTAATCTGCCAGCAACCTAAGACAAAATTGGAACCCAGCAGCATTGTGAGAGCGACCTGAAAGTGGCACATGGCATAGTTGTGGCGATGGAGACAGCAGCAATGGGAGGCGGTACAGGGACCCATTGAGACACTGTGGACCTGAGGCAAGCAGCATGAGGAGGCGGTACAGGGGCCCATGGCAGATTAGGGGCCTGGCAGCAGCAATGGGAGACGCCGTAATCTGCCCAGCACTCTATGACAAAATGGAAACCCAGCAGCAGGTGTGTGAGGAGACCTGAAAGTGGCACATGGCAGAGTGTGGCGAGTGGAGACAGCAGCAATGGGAGGCGGTACAGGGACCCATGAGTACCTGTGGACCTGCAGCAGCATGAAGGAGGCGGCGGTACAGGGGGCCCATGGCAGATTACAGGCCTGGCAGCAGCAATGGGAGGATACCCGTAATCTGCCAGCAACCTGATGACAAAATGGAACCCAGCAGCAGCAGTGTGAGGAGACCTGAAAGTGGCACATTGCAGAGTGTGCCGATTGGAGACAGCAGCAATGGGGAGGCCCGTACAGGGACCATGAGTCACTGTGACCTGGCAGCAGCATGAGGAGGCAGGTACAGGGGCCCATGGCAGATTACAGAACAGCCAGGCAGCAGCAATGGTAGAGGCCCGTAATCTGCCAGCAACTGTGACCAAAAATGGAACCCAGCAGCAGTGTGAGGGAGACCTGAAAGTGGCACAGTTGCAGAGTTGTGGCGATGATGGAGACAGCAGCAATGGGAGGCGGTACAGGGACCCATGACACACTGTGGGACCTGGGCAGCAGCATGAGGAGGCGGTAGGTACAGGGGGCCCATGGCAGATTAGGGGCCTGGCAAGCAAGCAATGGGGAAGGTCCCGTAATCTGCCAGCAACCTATGACAAAATGGAACCAGCAGCAGTGTGAGGAGACCTGAAAGTGGCAACATGGCAGAGTGTGGCGATGGAGACAGCAGCAATGGGAGGCGGTTGCAGGGACCCATGAGACACTGTGGACCTGGCAGCCTGCATGAGGAGGTCGGTACAGAGGGCCCATCGGCAGATTAGGGGCCTGGCAGCTGCAATGGGAGACGGCCCGTAATCTGCCAGCACCCTAGGTGACCAAAATGGAACACAGCAGCATTGTGAGGAGACTGAAAGTGGCACATGTTTGGGGCAAAATGATTCATGGCGGATTTAGTCAGTTGTGTCAGGAACTGGTGGTTTGAAATCCAGACTAATCCACGGCCTGATTCATTTTCACAAACGATGAGTCTCTCTCCACAACTTTGGGTGGACAGTCGTTGTCTCTCCGCGGAGTTACAATACCTCCTGCCGCACTAAACACACGCGCTCCCGATGCCACGCCTACTGTACTACTACCGGGCTATGACAGCCTTTCAAGGGCAAAATTCAGCTAGTTGGGGCCAAAGGTCAAGTTTCGTTGCCCAGTAGTCAAAAGGGATTGTCTACCTCGGTTGCAGGTGTGCTGTCCCAAGTAGGCCCCAAGCCTGTTGTTTGAGCTCCTGGCTCCAGGGGTCCACCTGATGCTGGCTGCTGCGGCTGGTTAGTAGTTTCCTCACTGCGCTGGTTGAAAGCAAAGCTACTCATCATTCGACTGCAGACTGAGGCAAGCCGCTGCTGGTGGAGCTGCCACTGCTCCTACCACCCCACCCCTCCCCTGCTGCCAATGGCAGCGGAAAAACGCGAGAGCGCACAGGGCCCACAGTGTCTGAGAGGATGGACGTTGGCGCAGATTGAAGGCAGAGACCCAATGACTACATAGGTGGTTTTTTATAGTACGTTATTTTGGCCTCCCTCTCAGCATGGTGTGTGATGAAAAAGGCCCACCATTTTGGAACGGGTAGCGAGGGTCCAACAAGGTGGACAGCCTATAAAGTCATCCCTCAGTCTGAATGGTTATTATTCGGGGCTGCCGCTACGCAAGCAATTCCGAGCATTGCTTTAGGGCCATTTTGTGCCAAGGATGCGAAAGGATCTCCCTGCCTCCATCTCCACAGTCATACTGCCAATCGGATGCGTCTGGAGGTCCTCTGTTCTCCTCCTCCTCCTCCACTACCAGATTGCTCCCTGCTCCTCCACTTCGCATAGTCCGCATGAGTGGAAAAACCACCCATTTCCACTCAATAATATTCCTGAGCACCAACAAACAAAGACCAAAAAACAAACTAAAAAAAAAATCACCAATAAAAAGAAAAATTAATAAAAATGTACGAAAAAAAAGCCAACAACAAAAAACAGACCAAAATATCAAAGCCAAATCCTAGAACAAAAAGTAAAAACATCACAATGTGAACAAAACAACACAAAACAATACAACAAAAACAAATAAAACACCGACACCTAACAATGGGAAAAAAATAAAAAGTAAGAGGATGCAAGGGGTATAGAAGTCATCACCAAGTAAACAAAAAAAAAAAAACAATAGACAAAAGAAAAATATAAATAATGGTGGGGTTAAAATAAATAACGAGATAAGAAAGTACAATGGAACAGAATTACGAGATAACAAAGAGTAAAATACAGCATAATACAACAAAAAAGAAACGCAAACAACAGATACAAAAAGTTTCATATACCAACACAATGCATCACGCAGCAAACAAAAAAAAAATTGTAAAACAAACATACAAAGAAATTAAATTAAATTGCAAATAAAAATAAAACATAGCAAAAAAAAAATAAACAAGTAAATCAAATAAAAAAAATCACTAATTATGAGCAACAAAACAAATAAAATGGGGGGGCACAAAAGTACAAGAAAAAGAAGGAACAATGGAAAAATGAAAATTGAACAATGGAAATAACTACATGACTCATGACTACAAAAGAAAACAAGATCATGAAGTAAGATTGTGGTGATGAATGGAGAAAATGTAAATGTGATAAAATATGAAGCAATGTACCTCCTCTACCATCACCTCTTTTCCCTTCTTTGCCCCCACAGGGTCATGTGCGATTTGAGAAGATCTGTGCCCTACGTCTACCTCCAACCCTGAACCAGCCATTGTTATACATGCAATTTGATGTCCAGGACTCTGCAACAGAGGATAGGACGTCGTCATTTCCAGAGTCCTGGCCGACTCACGAATACGATGGCCTCCCTCAAAGGCCTGAGACAAAGCGGCAGGTGTCACGGCATGAGCATGCCAATGGCTGACATCGAAATGTTAGTACACAGGGGAGTACTTTTTAATCCCGCTATGTAACATACCAGGCGAAATCGGTTGATGGCCTTATTTACGCAGTTCGTTAAGGGCTGTCTAACATGCGTAGGGTTGAATTCCACCTTGTTGCATTACAGTCGCAGATCAGGTCGATGCATGTGGAATTCCGTTCTGCCGATGCATGCTCACGGAGGGTGTGCTTTGAGCGGTGTAGGAAATGGCTGGAAATGCCATGCAAAGTTTGTAGACGTGACATATTTAAGTGATGTCCTTGGCAGGTTGTGGGATGGTGGATTTTAGTGAACCGCGTGTTATATGCTTGACAACCCAGATTGAACACGTGAGCCATGTCATTGGCGCATGAGACACAACTCGTTCCTTGACGTAGAGAAGATACAGACATGACACCATGTTCTTTTCCGTTCGTCGGTCAACCATGGGTTCCGATTATTCAGTTTGCGGCGGAGACAAGCCATCTGTCGATTTTCTCTCTGTTCATTACACTCAGAAGTTCCTCCCCTATGTGTGAACTACGTTTCGCCCAAGGCAATACCAACATGTGATAGATGCCGGTCGTGGTAATCGGACGTGGCATCGGGTGGTGGCGGCTGAGGACTCACGGTGCGAAGAAGACCGGATGTTAGAGGCGGACATCGTCTGTCTGGCACCAAGGACGTGCAAACGTTGGAGGCAAATGCGGCGACTTCCGGTGACCTGTCCAAAGTTTGCTGGTGCGCGCTGTGCCGAGGCACCAACTAGTTTCACCCAGTGGTGCCTGTAAAATGACATGTACTGTCCTTCCTGACCGATAGTTACGGCTTCCACACGTCGCGCTATTGTGCCGTGGCACTTTGGCCAGAGACCGGACATGCTCAAAGACTGGCCCACCATCTCTTGTCTACATGTGCATGCAGGGCTGGGCACTGCCTTGTTTGGCGAAGAAATTGCCGGCCTTGGCACACTTCCACTCTGCGGCGCGCACAAAGTGTCCATGCATTTCTCGGGAGGAAGGTGCTGAGTCCACAAACTTGGAAAGGGGAAGTGACTGTCAGGTCACCAGCAACTTTGGACAGAGTAGGACGTTCACTTTTTTTTTTTTGCACCGTCCGGGTGCGTGCTCTGCAAACTGTTGTCTCTTGGAAACGGATGCGTTAAGAAAGGATCTGGCTGACGGAATGCCTGAGAAGAGGTGTAGGCAGGAGAAGGAGCATCCAGAACGAGCGGAAGATTGCAACGAGCGGACAACTCCCCTCGAGCGAGAGGTGTTGGAGCCTTGACTGGCTGATACGAGGGCGATTGATCGTAGGGTGACGGAGCAAGAAACGGAGTGGTGTGATGGAGCGGGGGCTGGGGCAGATCAGAACGCGCACGTATCTTTATCACGGTTTTCCCAGGGCCAACCAAATGGCGAGAGCTTGCGTGTGTATGCTGATGCAAACGCTGTGTAGTCCCCCAACATGGGCCTCCTCTGGCCCACGCTTGACTTTCTGGACACACGATAGTCTAACATACGAGCGGCTACTGTTTACTTCCCTCGGGCGGTGGGCTCATCTTCTTGAGGAAAAATATGCCATCAACCGCCGAGTGTAGGAAACTTTGCCCCCGCTACTCCTCACTGGCTGACTGCTACTAATCCTCCGTGCAGTCACCTGCATCCACTACTGGCGCCGTGGGTGGTTAGGCTGCAGTGGAAGCTGGTGCTCTACTGCCGTGGCCGTTTGCCTCCACTGAAACACTGCTAGCGACCTGCTGCCTGCCCTCCTGTCAAACCCACACGACTGTTGTGCTCGCTGTTGCCAAGACTGGCACCACTCTTACTCCTAGATGATGCGGAAAGAAATTTGGCCTGCTGAACGACGATGGCTGCCAAGTGCGATCGAGCCTCCTCATACATCAATTGAGGGTTCTCCGCCAGCCTCTATCGTACTAGGCCCCCCTCGTTCTGCGTGTGAGGTCAGGGGGAGACAGGACCTGTCTCTAGAACCGGTCCTACCGAGCGCACTCTCCTCGCACAGTACTTATCTTCGCCTGATGCTGCTGAAGAGGCGGATGTCTCTCCCCCGTTCCTGACCGCATCTGTTTAGCTCTTCCTCA